AGTCATCTGTTTGACGGGACAAACAGAACACTGCCCATCAGTATTCTACTTTGCCTTGATTGATAAGTCTGAAGCTACTGGACTCAAAATCGGTGTGCCCCCATGATCTGGAGAGAAGTGGACCCTAATCTGCTCTGTTTAATTATAGCTGTTTGTGAAATTCCTAGGGGGTCAGTGGTTTAGGACGCTTCCCTTCCTTCCAAGTTAGGAAGGCTCGCTGAGTCTTACAAGGAGAATTTGGGCACTTGCTTTGCTGAGTTTTGAGGAGACCTATGCATCGTAAGGTGGGGCCTGTTTGACAAAGAGAAGGTGAGATACCAGGGAGATACCAAAGCGCCTGCTTGCTTGCTTGCTTGCCGTTTAACGGTATGCCTGACAGAAGATATTGGCAGGACACCGAAACACAACAAGAGGAAACGGGGAGACAGTATCGCCTAATACTGGGGAGTTCTCCCAGTGCCCACTGTGCTGAAAAGCAAAGGTTCTTCAAATTACAGCCATGGTTTCCACATGCATAGGCTGAACCCCTTGTTATTCACCTCGGGCTGAATGCCCCATACTATGATTAGCACAGGTAGATACACACTGGGTGGAAGTCTGCTTACGTAACATGAGTGTCAAACTCTAAGGGTTAAGCTCGTCACTTGTTAAGCTTGCACTGCATGTTTGGAGCCAGTGGCACGCATTTCACTGATTCTCATGCCTCTGTTGAACAGTTGAGTGCAGTCCTTAAATTCAGGCCAGGTCCTCTAACCCATTTGCTGGCGCTTTTAACGGCAGACTAGCACGCAAGAAGATAAGAATCTCACCTTGGTTGGGAGTATAAATTTGAGTGGGCTGGTCGCAAAAACCCTAGACGCCACAGTCCTCCCGCCCAACTGGTTGAATGCGAGCAGACCCATTGGCTGCTCAGGCAACAGTTGGGGCTCCTCCATTCTAGTTCTCCCGCTGTGCACTGTGAAGGAATTCACACAATGTTTCAGCAACGAGGCTGAGGAGGAGGATAACTTGCATACCTGGGTCAGCGTAGAAAATGGAAGAGCAGTAAAGGAAAGAAGAAGAGGGATGAAAACCCACTCTATGAATATCCTGAAGACAAAATCTTTGGCCGGGCAGCCAAATCAAGCCAAGCCTCTGGTTGACAACACTCCACTGACTGGAGGAATGAAAATCAGAAGGCTCAGAACTAGAAGGGTTCCTTGCAAAAGGTGGTTCAATCCGATGAAGCGGATGCAACCAGTGTGGCTAGTGCGGATTCTCTGTTTCAGGAAGGGATAGATTGAGTCCGGTTACGCACAGGGGTTTGGCTAAGACTCTGGAACCTTGTCCTAATGGGCAACCGTTTTGTCAAGGAGAGGTGTGAGAACGAGCACAGTTGATTGACCCAGCTCCTAGGGGAAGCTTAGATTCACAGGCAACCAGATTGGCTGCATTTCCAAGTAACAGCAAGGTTAGTCAGCTTTTCAACGAGGCTCTTGAACCTGCTCACTGCCGTTACGTAGACCACCCTTGTCTGGGGCATTGAATTTGGATGAAATAGTGTCCCAGCATAAATTTTAGTGAAAATGGAGGCTTCAGAAAGGGCTCCAAAACTCACCAAAAAACCGTGACTGACCAGCTGCAAGCTTATCCTTGCTTCCGCAGGTTTGCAGATTCCAGGGGGGATAAGAACCACGTAATCAGGCTGCTGCAAAAAGGTGGATTATTGAGTAAAGGCCCAACGGTATGATAATAATACTATGCTGATCACGAAACTCAGCGCCTGTGACACTTAGCTGGTATGAGAAAGCTTTGCTCTATCCTGCTCTGGTGGAGTTTTGAATTGCAGTGCGCTCTTTTCTGGCTTTTGGGTGGTAAGAATAATTGAGCTTTGATCGTTCTACTTCAGAGCAAAAGAGTTTACACAAGCTGTAGCAGCAGCAAAAGCCATGTAGCTACAGAACAGCTAGTTGACGAGCAACCAGGATTGTCTCCTGACCTCACTAATCGAGGCATACCATGTAGTAAGGCCTGCATCTAAGCTCTCGTGATGAGATATTGGGGAAGATGAATTAGCTAGTCGCTTCCTTTCTCAAAAATAGCTCTGGATTCATTCCAAATAATCTATCTTTGCTTGCAAGTGGATTGAGGCCCCTAAATTAGCAGCAAGAACTCATCCAGGGCGAAGGGGAAAGCTATCCAAGTAAGCTTACCCATTAATTGAGGTGGAACCAGCATATCGATCGCGAGCTAGTAGTAAATGCACGGAGATGGATTGAAGGGGATGAGTCACCAGCTAGGAAAATGATGAAGGCACATACCGTTTGCGGTCATTCCGGCGGTGGTCAGCTGAAAGCTGCGTGAGCTGCTGGCCGCCGACTCAGGCGCCGATCCTTCTCTTTGTGTTTGGGGCGCCACATACAGTCGTGGATAGTCAAACCCGTCGTGTTGACCAAAATAAACTAGGTATTACGATGCAAAGTGAGCTGGGACTGAAACGAGCTAGCTCTCTAGCTGGGTCGATCGTTGCTTTCCAAGGGGTTTCCAAGGTCAGCTGCAAAACGGTAATTTAAATTGTCGAAGAGCAAACCCCCGCAGCGCATTCGAGGTTACAGTACAAGACCCTCAAGAGTCGATTGAAGTCATGCTAATTTCTGTCCATGTACTGCAGGGCTCCTCTTGAAGTTTGAAAGCATCAAAAGTGGGCGGGTTTCAAGATTCCGTGACTAGGTACCGGACGTACTGGTACAGTGATAATGACTGGATTATTAGCCACATCGGCGACAGCTAGGCTCGCACGTACATGCTCAGAAAAAGGATAACGGTAGTTCCTCCGGACTCCACCAGTTCGGGAGTTGTTACCTGCCAGTAGGTACCGTATGACCGTATTCTACGTACCTATGCTCATTTTGTTATTGAGAAGTGCAGACTGCACACTGCAAACAGTTTGCTCCCAAAGCACCTACGGGTACGTATGAGCACTGAGCAGAACATGTACAGCATTGGCTGAAACAGACTCTTGGTGCAATGGTGCTGGGTACCAATGTACCAGGTACGGTACACAATGCTAGTAGGTAGTGCATGCGACTGGTGGCAAGTAACTGCCGCTTATGTACTGGCACCTCATAATGATTGACATTGCAGAAAAGGGTATCTCGAGCTCGAACGAATTAATTCAAGCCTGTACGCATCCTCCTACACATAAACAGACCGTGCAATTGCCGTACCGTAAATGCCGTACCGTAGTTTGTTGCTGGTTTGTTACAAACTTGTCGGGACTCGGAAGTTGGAACCTTTACTAGGTCCTAGGCTTTAGGCTTCGAAGTTTAGGTCAGTCACGGTGCTGCTGATAGCACCACCGCGCGCGCGCGCGTTGACTCTCGGAATAGGACCTAGGTAGGTACCATTACAACGTATATACCAGGCTACCTCCGTGAGGCGCATATAGCCTCATAGGTATCTAGATAAGAATTCCGACGTCCGGATGGCAAATTGGGGAATATTTCTGAAGTCTCCGGGTGCAGCCAGCTAGAAATGGAACGGGTGCTTACCTGCCAGAACGTTTTCAAAGTCTCCATTGGGCCAATTAAATGGCAGGCTTCAACTTTAAGTTAGCCAAATCATTGCTTGCATGATCGATGCTGATATGCTGCTTCGAGCCGGAACGTCGGTTCAGACTCGTCTCAGATTAAACTGCATATTAAGCTAGTGACATGTCAGGCATTTGATGGCCTGCAATTGTTAAGGTAACTTTCATAAATGACAAGTACGTACCTTCAAGAAGTTCTGAGAAACCTGCGGGGAACAGCTGCAGGGTGCAGATGATGCTCAGTTATCTGCAAAAGTCTGACTCCCAGATCATATCTGCCGATGCCGTTGAATGCGGCCTAAAGTGATAAAGTTTTCGAGTGTAGAAATCAACACTAGTGACTCCCATCTTGCACGTAGGGCCGCCGTGCGGGCGGCCGCTGATTTCGGTGGTCAATCAGTATGCCACCAGTAGCTAGCTAGTCGCGCGGCGGGCCCGAGGCTCTTCTTGAAGTCGTCAATGCAGCGAGTCCCGCGCCCGGTATGGGCAGGGCGGGTATACCGTATAGGACTTCATTCATGTTACGTGAGTCACAACACCGGGCCGCGCCACGTGCAGCCAGTGCCGGTGATTCATTCTATATATAGGTTGCGTGTTCCCAGCTTCGTAGGACTTTTCCCAGCTTTAGTAGAACCTTTCTTAGGATTGGTTGACATGTTGCAGCTCAACATCAATTGGTGCGCTTCTGGAGTCACAAAAGCTGGGCTTGTGCAAATATGCAGTGACTCGAGCAACCTGGCAATTGGTAGAAGCAGCCATTTGTCCGAGATGCTACAATCGTGGGTTCGAACTTCCAGTGTACGTCCCTTCATGCAGCCCAGTATGTTTGTCTTCTCAGCCCCCTCAAAACGAGATCCAAGCAACTCTTCAAAGAATCGACAGCAGACATCAAGCGGTGGCGACTATCATGAGTGACAAATCTCGTGTAGCTTCTTTTCTTCAGCTAGCAAACCTGACACCAGTCTCTCGCTCGCAGCCTGTCGCGGTGATCCCGTTTTCCCTCGCAACAAAGCTCGCGAGCTTGTGCCTGTGATCATGTCGATCCCACACGAACCCGTTCTGATACTCGTATGATTGTCTTATGCTTGCTATCAATCGCTTCGACCCGGACACTCACCCGACTCCTATCAATCGTACAACTGATGACGCGAGGCGTCAGCAGATCAGACGGCGGGTTCCCTCTTTATGTTTTTGAAAACGGAGGGCTTCTCACTCACACGAAATGTAAGGCGGTATTCCTGGCAGCCAATCAGACTGTGTCTTTATTTTGGCAGTAATCTCCTCTCCTCTTTCAAAATTGGAAGGCTTTTTGGCTCCTACCCGGTGTAGTCTGCGTTTTGTAATCTCCGTACCCAAAACTGGAGGGCTCGGAGACTACCACCCGCTCACAAGACCCGTGAAACGCCGCAACTCTAGTTACAATGAAGTTGGATTACTTTGCGGGTTTGAACTCAAAGCTGGAGGGCTCGGCAGCTACGACCCGCTCGCAGAATCCGTGGAACGCCGCGACTTTGTCCAGAATGGGGATGTCCGTTTCGTCCGCGCCGAAAGGGTCCGCGAGCGCGTTGGACAGCTCGCGCAGTCCGAGGGTAACTAGAGCGGTGAGGGCGAAGGGAACGAGGCTGTAGAAGTAGGACAGGGAGATCTGCGAGCAGAAGAAGAACGCGTCGTTAGTTTGGCGCGTCGTCAACCGCGCTTCGCAGTTTGAAAGGTTCTAGCTTGGATCTTCGAGAAGGGAGGTTGACGGAAATTTCACTGAAAGAAAAGCAAAGGGACGGAGATTGTGATTAAGCAAGCTGTGCAGGACGGACGAACAGAAAGGAATGGACCCGCAAAAGACAGGAGGAACGACGAGACGCGACGAAAGGAAAGCAATCGAAGCAAATAGGACAGGCAAAAAGGACGGGAACAAACGGAGTGGATTGTGAGAGACCAGATGAAAATGACCGGAAAGAACGGAGCAGAACGGACGGGAGCGGACGCAAGAAACAGTGGCATGACGGACGGAACCAAACGGAAACCTCAAAGGGGGCAAAACAAACGGCTAGAAGAAGAAACAAAGAAACGGCGGAAAATGTTTCACAAGGCGGATGAATCTTACGTAGGTATAGCAGAGCAGCGCCAGGTAACCGATGGCCATGACGTTGAGAAGTTGGTAGAAGGCGAAAGGCACCTGCGAGAATTACGGATGGCTGTCTTCCGAGCGTTCAAAAGATGCTATTGAATCTTGCGGTCATCATGCGCAAATATGAGAGCGGGCAAACCGCTTCGACTCGCTCCGCTCTTTCTCCTGCTATCGAGCTTCTCAGCTTCGTTCGAACCACACGTGACCAGAAACCCTCCGATGGTTCAGTACGTGCTGCTATTCGATTGCACTCAAATTTTGCAACCTATTCTACATTGAGCGAACTTTCAAGAGCTTTTGGTAAAGGAGAAACCTGTCTGCAGAAAAACCTATCCAGAAAAGCTTCGAGCCGACTCTTTATGGCTCGACCCAACGGGCACACTGAGGCGTGAGTCGTGACTGTGGGGTTCAGGCGCCGCGTCCTCGGTTTAACCAAGACCCAAAGCACAGCGCCAGGTTGTCGAATATGGGGTTGAGACCGTGCATACGGAGCCCTGGCTCGCGCCAGGCCCAAAACCTGATGCCCGAATAGACTTTAAAGCCTCAATCCCGGCCTATGAAAATTTTGAAATTTAGAAGCAGCCTACTTACCGGCATCGCGGCGAGATTGTAGATGAGGTCAAAGTTGTTCATCATGGAGCCCTTGAACTGCGCCAGGTAGTCGTGGGAACGCTCCGAGATATGGCCTCTTGCAAACTCCCGGAATAACAAATCTTCGATCAAAAGCTCGATCTGCGCACGAGGGACAGAACGACTATGGTCACTCTTCTTTCTGGTCACAGAGATTCCTTCCTTTTTTTCAATTCTTGTGTGTGGATTTCCCCGATCGGAAGTGGAGGGAAGTGTTGCGTGACGAGATCAATTGCTAGACCCTCTGAAAAGGGCTCCGAGAGGTGGCTCTCAATCTGTCCACAGCAAACGCCTTCACCCAAGATTAGACGTGCAAAGCGAGAATACCACGACGCTTCAACTTTCCTTTTCTGTTTTCCTTCTCGATAACCAGAGTCAATGCTGATGCGCGCGCTAAGGAAGCCGGAGGTGCAGAGCTCCGTGATGTGGGCTCCTGGCATTTAAGACTTTAACTTCGACGTTTCGAGAAGCGCTAAAAAGCGGGCATTTAGGACGATCCCCTCACCTCCGGCGGATACAACACAAGACGTGGGCTCCGATTGGTGACCCTCGATTGCGTCCGCAAAAACCGTCTTCGAAGCAAGAATCGACCAACATTTCGAAACGGACTTCGAGATTGACTGCTATTCCGTTTCCTTCTTTCTTCCCTGATAATCATAATCGAAGCTGCTGAGCTTTGAAAGCCGTGAGTGCAGAACCGTTCCGAGATGTGGGCTCTTGACATCTCACTTATGACTCAAGATTAGCTTGCCTATACATCATTCCGGCTCGTTTCTCTATCATCCCAGGAGGAACTTTGTGAAAGAAGCGTCCCATTCGTCGAGATCCTGAAGAAGCAGTTCCTTTCGAAATTACGTGCTCAAGAGCGAGCAAAATGGCACCTACCTCAAGATACAAGACGGCGCTGTGGGGAAGCGCCAGCAGCTTGCCCTCCTCTTCCGGCAGCAATAAGCCCATCTTGCTGACGTGGCCAAACGCCCACTCGTGCAAGTTATTCGCCTTGTAATGCGGAAGCCACGTGAAGCCCAAGTAGAGCTGCGCCATGAGATACTTTTGGAGGCGCGTTCGGACCGCGGCCGCGTCGGGGAAAGCGCCGTCCGGAAAATGCGTACGGATGCCCATCGCAAAGGCCGAGCTCGAGGAGAGGATCTCGCAGCACGCGGTGTATTGCTGGAAGAACCTGTAAGGGGTGTTGGTAAGAGTTAGGATTTCGCTTTGGAAACGGGTCAATCTTTCCTGATAGGATTCTTTTGAAAGTCCAAAAGTACGTTCGAACAGTCATGGCGAAGGCCGACCTTAACACGGATTTCGCAGCGGGCGGTGTATATACTGCTGGAAGAACCTACAACGGGGTCTTAGAAGGGTTGGGTTTAGCATTTTGAGACGGTCAAAATCGTTTGAAAATTCGACTGTGCTTGGCCGTTCGAAATGCGTTCAGACACTCATGGCGAAGCTTCGGATTCGGCAGACAGGATCGCCCAGCACGCGTTGGATTGCTGGAAGAATATACGAAGGCTTTCCCAAATACATTCAGCTTTGGGATCCGAATCGGGGTAATCGGACCAGGGGGACCAAACCCCACTCAGAGTGCCGGAACGATGTTCCGCGCCGTCCGATGAGCTTTTTCTTGGAATGAACGCTCCAGATTGCATCAAAAGGTGTCCCGAGCTCAGCGTGGACCCCGGTTAGCTTGTAATTGGGTCTAGTCGTTGTTTATTAAGTAGTTAGAGCAGTTATGCCTGATTAACTCTCCTTAAACAATCCAGAATAGCTCCTAAACCCCTTGTTGCCCCAACCCAAAATTCAAGAGTTACAAACAAGACCCTTCGGAGGTTTGATTCCACCAATCTTCGGGTTGGGGCAATTAGAGGTATGGCTGCTGGCACATGGTTCAGGATGCAAACCCATTTACCTGGGGCCTTTGGTCCCCCTGAATCAGACCGCTTTCTTCGGTGAGTCCTTAAGTTCGTCTGGAGCCCTTATTCGGCGAGGGCCGAGCTGGCTAAGGCGCACGGCATGCGGTCTACTGTGGAAGCCTCGTTGGAGACGCGCGTCCAGCCCCTTTAAGATATTAGGGTTCTGAATCTCAGAAGTGAGGGTCTTTCGATGTCCTCAAAAGACCTTTGAAAGCTTCCAAAGAAACATGTGAAGCTCGCGGGCTCATGTCGCCACTCTAGCAGCTTGCAGCACAGATTCAGTGCACTGCTGATTGACAAGACATTTCAAACCAACGAAGATTTTGAAGTGGAATCCAGACAAGTCGTACTAGAACTCACCTGTTGTAGCTTTGGGTGGTCTGGAAGACGAGGCAGAACGACACCAAGGACCCCAAGTACCCCGCATAAGTCGACGACCTTATAAACGGCCACGGGTAACCGTCCGCCGTTGCGGTGTCAACCTTGCTGTGCTGGTTGGAGACCTTATAGTAGAACACCAGCAGAAGCAGGTGAGCGGCTATGAGCCCCCAAAACGATACGCTTTGGAAGACCATTTTGATGGAGCTGGCTCCCAGATGGAAAAGGAGACGGATGGGGTGCTCTGCCTCGTAGATGAACGTGGCCCGGGGAATCGGCAGTAAAGGTGCTCGACGCTTTCAGAATGTTTAGATTCAAGGACTCCCTTTAGGGTTAGGTATTCTGTCTTGACGCCAAAGGAAGAAGGATGAGTGACGTTTTCTGAATGCTGAAAGACATGTCAGGTGACAAAGCTTTGCAGAGGAGCTTTTGACATTTGGGTACTCTCTGCCAGTGGTCAAGCTAACCCTATTTGCCTACTTACCGTATTTGCCTACTTACCGGGAAGCTTCTATTTGACTGACAGACTAAGATACGACAGAGACAGTCAATCAGCTGACTGAGTTGCCATCTATTGAAGTTCCACAAATTAAGGCCTTAGGTTCCGAGTTGTGAGGCTGGCTAGCTATCTGAACACCTTCACGCGGTGAAAAGTGGTCTATAAGCAGGAAGGGTGGGAAGTCCACCAGTTCATTGGATCGTTTCTCCTCCTGCTCTGGGCCTTCGAAAGCTGCACATGACACTTGAGCGGCAGGCCGGCCAAAGGCTCCAGTCAACTGTCCAGCGCTTGCCGCACTATGCAACATTATCAAAGGGCTATAAACCTGCCTCAGTGGACCAATTAATTGGTATCAACTCAAAGGAAATACTGGTTCTGAAGCCTCCGGAGTCCTGTAAAAGCATTGCCGTCAGAACAAAGAGCTCTTCTTTCATGGTTTTACTCGAAAATGCAGACTTAGAGGGCTGCTTGTCAACTTGGGAGAAATAGTGAAGCTTACACAAGGACTGACGAGCTAGCTAGGGCAGCTCAAAAGGGTGAGTGCTTGAAGGACTTGAGACACTGGAAGGGACCGAGACTTGGAACATGATTGTTTCAACTCACGAGATTTGCTTGCTTGAGAGGAATGAGCGCCGCCTCATAAGGACTTGGCTCCTGGAAACCGCTCAACTCCTTTCCTTGTGGCTTGCCAAAAAGGGTCGCCCCCGCCAGTCTGACGTCATCATCCCCCAACCCTGGCGTCACCGCGCCCTTTGTGGGAAGCGCAGCTAGGTGGTACATATCAATGGCGCTTTGATGGGGTCTCTCAACTTCAGACACGGCTTCTCCGTGGTGTGCTTTTGCGTCCATTCTTGGAATTTTGAAACAAGTTGCTGCTTCTAGTGGCAGCTGCTCAATTCTTGTCACAATAACTGCACACTTGGCGACCGCGTCGTTTGAAATCTTTCCTTCCTAGTCACAGCGCCTCCAGCTTAAGTTTGGAATGCTGCAGATGGTTAACTAAGCCACTAGCTATGCAACGTAAGAGGGGTCTCTCTTCCTCCAAGGAATGCCAACTTTGAGCTGCAGCTAGCTTGCACTTGGCAAAAACCAGCTTAATTGCTCCTCTGCTGTGAAAAAGAAACTCGATGTCGAAGGCAGAGCTAGAGAATTCAGAATATATGGGAACGAAAAAACTGAATCAGCTGATGATTACAACTCTCCTTCAGTTTCACGCAAATCTTAATAGCTTACCTGAGTACCAGTACGCTATCCCAATATTGGGCGCCTTAAAATCAGGCTGAGATTCGGCATTCCGACGATGATGCTCTTCAAGCAGTTTTGGACGTTGAGATTCAAATGATTCCCAGCCGGGCCTGGCAAATTGCAAGCTGCAACCACAATACCGTATCCCTTGCAGTCAGGCCGCGTGGAACCTAAACCTTGAAATGACGAATTCATATCATGCACTTGGTACTAGCTACCTTGGTACTCTTGCAGCTTCCCTGCAGCTCTAGTGTTTCCTTACCTACCGTACGAGGCGATTATCCGGTACCTGCTGTTGTGGTTGCAGCTGGAAGACTCATTAGAATTTGAGGCTGTGCCTCCTCGGCCTCCAGCCTCCAGGGTATCTGGAAACATGAGCTGGCAAAGCATGTGAAAATAGCAATTAATTCAGCTCTCTGTGGCTCCAACCGCTACCCATAGAATGTGGATCCGTGCCAGATTAACTACTACCGGCCCCCGGGCCGGCTGCCAGCTATATCTGTGCTCCGCTCGTATAGCTGACTCGTATTACCTACTGCCGTTGAGTACCTACCTAGGTACTACGGTACGTGTACTACCGTACCTCCAGCCTAGTCCAGCAGTGCATTGTCCTTTGTCCATTATCCACGTCGGACGAAGAAGGGAGGTAGTATCCGACGAAGATAGTAGGTACTGTAGCTAAGACCTAGTTAGTAGGTACCATGCCTACTTGGTACCTTGTGTACATTCAATCTTGCATGATTGGCCCGACTTCGCATACGTCACCAAATTTCTTCCACAGCTTAGAATTAATTTGCTGCCAGATCCCTGGGTCAAGTTTCAACGAACTGGGACTCGGAGGCTTCACAACCCATTGAAGGCTTCAATGCAATGGCAGTGCTGCTCAGACTTCCGTCCTCACTGCTCATGAGTGCTAGCGGTCGCCCTTCAGTAACGGCACCGCAGAGTGAAGAAGCGATGAAGAGTGGCGGCCCCGTTCCACGTACCGTGCCACACTGCCAATGTTGGTGAGAGCGGCCGGCCCCGCAGTAGTGTTGCAGCTTTACTAAGCCCGAAGTTATAGGCTATACTTCAGCTGGTTGGCTGCACCAAAGCAGATCGGGAGCGCTTCAAGCTTCAAAGGTAGCTGCTGAACTTTGAAGCCTTCAGCAGCTTTAGTGAAGGTACCAAAATTAAGTCAGCTCCATTCCTGCTGCACATAGTAAAGCACCACCCGTGTGGGGGCAGCCGGTCTTGCTCACTCTTACATACTTCCATTTTCGCATTTGTGCAAGTTGGCAACATCCTCTACTACTCGATCAGGACAATGCATGGGCAAGGTAGAGCAGTGAGCACCATCAGTGCCTAGGATGGTGATTTCTGTAACATTGGAACTCAAAGAACCATTTCCGGAAGCTACTTAACAAGGAGCTGCTAAATCAAGACTAGGATGCTGGAAGCTGAGTAGCATTTTTGCCACCAGATTACTCGTGTGATGGCATTCATCAATACGATCAGGCGCCAGCTCAAGTTCTAGCTCTAGCTTTATTCCAACAACAGTGCGCCTTAGGAGCTGCCTGATCTGCCACCATGGTGTGTCCTCCATTGGCCTGGCCAAATACTACACGCAGCTGCCCAATGGCTCTTGCATGAGGCAGGCGTCCTTCTTCGAGGACAAGCACGTGCTATCCCTCGGGTTTGGTTACATGGTGGTCCTGGGGCTGGGCCTCTTCTTCTCCGTTTTCACGGCTGCTCTGGTGAGCACTTGGCAAGTTCAGGCTTTTGTTTGCTAGAGTGAGCAGGGCTCTCAGCTCCCAGCTGTGGGTTAAGTCCTAGTAAGACTGTGGTGACTCTTTGCGGACCTGGAGGTCATTTAACTTGGATGCACATATGCATTATAACAGCTTTTCAGACCTGCAAGCACTTGCTACCTAAACTTGAGACTTCTGAAGGTTGCAAGCTGACCATAAAACTCTAATTCAGGGTTGTCTTGAAAGCCTGAACACAAGGCTCCACTTGTTGTTGAGAATACGCCGTATCATCACTCCTGCAAATGCTCACCCTCTGCGCACAAAGCTCAAATTGACTACCTAGATGTGCGAAAGATGTCCTGGTGTCGTTTATATGTGCTTTGAGGTGACTTTATAGGTGACTAGGGCGCCGAAAGAACCAGCCAGATCTATGGTCCGCTCACTGGAGCTGCATTGCGTCCATCAAAGCACCTGTGCATATGCAGAAGGATTCAAGTACTCAACTGAAAGTCAAACTGGATAAGTACAGCGGTCCCTTGGGTCCCTTGGTCAACAAAAAGAGCTTCAAAAGGATTCTTGCTTTCTTGTCTTCAGAGGTGTGGTTGGAGGAGCGGTACATGGGCACTGTGGCTTCTTCTGAGTGGTACGCTATTTCAGATCCCTCCGAGTCTTGTCAACAAAGGCTGATAATCTACTGGGAACGCTTTTGGACATATTGTCACTGGCAGTATGCGGCAAGTACTGCAGGCTTTGCATTCACATTGACAGCTGCCAATTAGCGGATGCACTTGAAGTACTTCGGTCAAAGACTGTTATATGATATATCAACAAGTATCTACCTAATGACTTGTTTGGTCTGTGCAGGTTCAACACGGCAGGGCGAAGTTTCAAAACGGGGCTCATCGCCAGTGTTATTGTGTCCCAGGTAAGCTATACAAAGCTTGCACCAAAAGCTGTCTATTCAGATCTGCAAGAGAACATGAGCTACTACTGATTGCCCTTATATCTGCGCTTCTCCAATCATACGTTTTTCTTTCACCCAGTCACAAGCTCTGCAGCACAGCACTCATGTTGGAACTAGGCTTGAAGATTGCACGGTTCTGAAAGCTTGCTGGACACTTCTTCCCCCTTACCTTCTTTTGAAGCAGCGGAGTTGAAGACAGGAAAAAAGCGGCAAAATGCCGAAATTGACGCTTCTTGCCCCTCTTGTTCCTGATACCTGTCGTGAATTGTCTTGTACAGTGGACCTGGGCTGCGACAATGTAAGCAAACTGTGCTCTTTCGCATCTAGCTAGTGCAAAAAGATTCACTCGGTTACTATTATTGGATTGGTTTCCGGCAGCTTTCTTGGTGCTCAGCGGCCCCTACTGGTTTCCCGAGTGTACGGTTCTTTCTATATGATTGCGGACTTGCTGAAGTAGTCAATGAATCTACTCCTTATTATCTGTTTAGAATCTTAGTAATCTCAGATGGATGTTGAAAACATGCTTCTGCAGCATCAGGAAAGCTGTTGACATATGACAGAGCTCTGTGCATATTCGTGGGATTCCTTTGTTTTGCAGCTTGCAGTCAGCCAACGTGGCCTGGAAATACGGCAAGTCCCTGAACACCTTCAAGTTTCTCAATTTGCAGCTCCTGGCTGACCTGCAAAGCAGCAGGCTTCGTTTCATTGATGATTGCTAGCTGTGCCCTGCACCACGTATGCATCCTCCATTTGCTAAAGGCTTTCAGAGATTTTGTGAAGCACAAGAAAGTGGAGACGAAGTTGACTGATTTCCTCTTACTCTCGCCGCAGGGATCAGCGGCCCTTTCTGGTATGCGTCTGGTGCTACAGTTCAGGTGCTGCTCTTTGGTGTGATGGCCATTGAAATCAAAAGGAAGGCGCCAACAGCGCACACCATCTGCGAAGTCGTCAGGGCCAGGTGAGCCTAACCTTCTAGATGCTACCCAAAGAGCTTCGGAAGAATTTCAAAAAAGATTCTCATGTCCAAGCTAGCGCTTACTATAATCTATCTGGTGTCAGCTGATATCGAAAAGCTGCACGACAAGCTGCAGCCTGTAGGAGGCCCGCTTCGTTCCGTGGCTCTTGATCCAAAGATCAGCTTTCTCAACTGTGGAACGTTGGCAGTATGATTGGAAGCGTGTCGGAGCTGCGTCTTGAGATCTTGCGAGCTAGCATCTGATTGCTATACCCCGTAATAAAAGCTACCCGCGGATTTTCTCTTTTGCTCTGGGGTTTAAATGCTTTTTGGATGAAGACGAAAGTCATAGAATGCCATCGAAGATCCTGAATCAGCTCTTGGACTTGAACGGACCTCGTCTTAACCAGTTTTGTGGCCACTGCAGATGGGGTGAGCATCAACTCCTAAACTCTTGGGGCGAGCCAGGGCTGAGTCCACCTGGATCGCCGTAAAAACTGCATCCATGAGGCTAACAGACCTTGACGTGGAGCAGACCGCTTTCTTCCGAGACCTTATTGTGCTCAGCTTTTTGAAGGTTCAGCTTTTGAAGTGTCTGACCAGTTGTGTGAATTCTGACCCCGCTGGTGTTTCAATCGACTTCAAACAAAACGACAAGCTTCCGAAAGCGTCTGTTCATTTGGCTTGTACTGCTTCTTGTCCGCTTACACAAGCCTGCAAGAATGAATCTTCTTTTCCGATTGCAGGGCAAATCGCACACATCGTCTTCCTTTTCTTCTGCTTCTTGACAAACTGCATCGTAACATCCATGCTCCTGGTAAGCCGTATCCACGATCAGATTTTGTCTCACCTTCTCAGTCGCAGCTAGCTGTCGTGCTACTTTTATTCAGCTTCAGCTACCAACGTCTCAAGAGATAATCTTACAAGGTATCGCACACCAGATTCCACGAAGTGGCTTTCCTAGCTCAGACGTGTCACGCGGCTGACGAATCACTGCTCTCGCTTACGCAGCTTGGTGGCGCATCTGTGGTCAACGCTCTGACAGACATGAACGTGTACCTGGCCTGCTTCTTGATTGTAAGTGGCCGCGCTATCTCTACTAGCGATTTGTATTTGTATTCTGCCTCTCCGCTAAGCGTCAATATGGGGAGAGAGCAAGAAACCTTGGCCTCTCAAGCTCAGCCTTACAACATGCAGAAGTGCTCTACGAATAAGCCCCTCAACGACGCTTCGTGCTGCAAGCATTCTGTTCGTTAAGATCGATATATGACCCTCCTAGAAATCTTCAATCTACGCTTCCATGCTTCGTCGAAACCTCTTGTTTGGTTGCAAACCTGCGTGCGCTTTACTTCAACGGAACCGTTCAATACGCTTAGGTATCTGTTCCATCGTGTCGTTCTGGCAATCAATTACACACTCTCAGAGAGGATAACTTTTCTTTTGCAGCCTCTTGGGGTCATCTTCTACACGCTGTCAGGCGGTCTCAAGGCCACCTTCCTTGCGAGCTACGTCCACAGTATCATCAGTAAGTGATCAATTCTCTAAAGCTGCGAGTTCGCAACTGCTGGCAAGCAGCAGGTAAAGACTCGATCATCTCTAGCTTTTCGAGGTTGAGTATTCTTGTTCCAGGCGTGCTCTTCGTGACTCTTTGTGACTCTTCAAGCAATATCAGATGGCATCAGTTTCCTATCAATGTGAAAGGCCCGTTCTCTTGCTTCTGTAGATGCATAAATATGGACAACCCGATGGTATTCACAAGAGACTGTGAGACTACAATTCAAGCTCTCTCTTCGTTCGAAACTGTGCGTCTCCGGATCCTGTTCCTTTGGATGGCGACTACCCCGCATTCTCTCCTGCTCATACAAAAGCCTACCAAACGAACAGTGCCGAAAAACAGCTTCTTTCTTTGCTTTGCAGTCCACATCGCTCTGATGATGTTCATCTGGATCGTGTACGCCACCGACTCGGACCTCGGCAGCCCGAAAGCCGTGTACAATGCACTCAAGGCTGTATCCAGTAAGACCAGGGACTGCCTTGACATACCAGACGGGCAAAAGTGCGGCCCAGTTGCTGGCAACCACAAGGGGACCTACCTAACCATGCTCTCAAATGGAGGACTCGTGAGGCCTTCGTTTACACTTCTGCTCGCAATTCTCTTGGAAGGTCGATCGGTATCCGAGCAGCGTCCCCCGCGAATGATCTGGTTTCTACACAAACGGCGTTTCTCACTAGTGAATCCTCGAACTCAAAGCAGATTGCCAGGTTATTTGCTTTCATTGTCTTGCGTTCGATAGAAGAAGAAAAATCTGTACTTTTCACGAGGCAGCCAATGGCAGACAGCAATGTCTATGAACAGAGTACTTCAGATGACAAATCAATGTAGCACGAGGGAAGGAGTTCACTTTAGGGTCTCTAAAACCATTCTACAGCTTTCTGAACCATCTGATCAGTACCGGACGCTTCGATCATTGTGAAAGCTCTTTTCTGCAGACCTTTGGGATCATCAACATCGTTGGAAACTTCGGAACGGTTTTCGTCGACAACGGCTACTGGCAGTCTGCCATCGCAGCGCGCCCCTCCTCCTCTCACAAGGGCTACCTGGTAAGAGATTCTCTTTCTCTTTCTCTTTCGAGCCAGGTCACCCGCGGCTCGAACTCTCAGAGGCCTCTGCTTTCATCAAGCAATTTGTTTCTGCAACAAAACTCCTAATCATCGCTGCTAGGATACCCGAGAGTTCTGGAAACCCATCAAGCTTCAAAGCTTCCAGGAATGCTTGAAGTCTGTTTGGTTCCGGCCGTGCCCCCTTCTCTGCGCACGCAAACTCGCTAGCTTCCCGTACGGTCTGAAGGCTTTCCAATCAAGTTCTGACACGTGTCGTCCCCCATCGCAGCTGGGAGGCCTTGTCTGGTTCGCCGTGCCGTTCGCCCTGGCTTCCTCCCTAGGCCTCGCTGCGGTCGCGTTGGACTTGCCCCTTACGGCTGACGAGGCAAACGCGGGTCTACTTCCTCCGGCTGCCGCAATCCAACTCATGGGCCAGAGCGGGGCTGGCCTTCTCCTGGTCATGCTGTTCATGTAAGCTCGGTAGCTTTTGTAGCCTCTCTTGCACTAGTCATCCGATGTGATGTTCGGCTGTTACAGCTTTTTGGTCGCACTTCGTGTTGGGGAAAAGTCTCTGACCCAGAATTTTCGGGGTCCCAGTATGCAGACGTTCCAGGTCTGTGCATGTCACAGAATAGGAGGCCGTAACTCGCTTCTTAAGAGTTTCACGGAAGCCAGGCTGCAGAACAAGTATCGACGAGCTTGCGAGAAAGCGCGCTTGGAAGGAACAGCTGCTCTGCGGCCCCGGGCCTCCTTGAATCTCTTCCGCACAATTGCAAGCTTTATTATCCAAAGCATTCGTAGCCCTGATAACGGGCATGTTTCAAAGCGTCTCCTTATGCTGATTTCGCAGATCCAATTGGGAGCCCCTCTCAGTCGGTTCCAACCGCACCTCCCTATTGATTCCTATTGACTTGCACTCTGCCTCAAGAAGTTGTTGTTCTGATCGAATGAAGTGAGAAATCATGGAGAAGGTCTCAACCGGCCCTTTCCCTACCCTCGCAGGGCCGTGCTTCTTGCTGGATCGGCCAAATTTGACCGCCGCAATTTCCCTGTCTGCCTAACGGAGTTTCTGCACCCCACTCTCGAAAGCTGACGAAAAACATTCGCTTCAATCCCTTTTGCAGGGCTGTCACTTCTGCCGGCTCCGCCGAGCTGATCGCCGTCAGTTCCCTTATCACGTACGACATCTACCGGACCTACATCAACCCCAAGGCCTCCGGAAAGCAGATCCTGGCGGTCTCGCGTTACTGCGTCCTCGGCTTTGGGCTCTTCATGGGAGTACTGGCGATTGCGCTCCAAAAGGCGGGCGTTAGCTTGGGCTGGATGTGAGCCGATACGCCCATCTACTGAGTGTTCGAACTGTGAAGGTCCCAGTCTGTGCATCTCGCCGCAGCATACAGCTTTGGGAAGGCGGAGATTTGCTTGGATCTGATGCTCTTCAGTGTCATGGGTTCCGTTTGATTGGTGGTTGCCGAACCGTCACTTCTCGCGCAGTCCTGGACCTTCCCATTCATTGCCGTGCCGCTTCGGTGAAACCACTGCCTTTTGTACGTTCTTGCTTCACCAGATCTCCTCTTTGAAGGTTTTTTTCACTTTTTCGGATCTACGATTACGTGATATCCCTTCTGTTTCTAAAAGAAAGGACGACAAGGCGGAACATACTGGCTGCAGTCTCGTTGACCACCGGATTCCTAGCTTGCCTTTGAATCTATAAAACGATTTCCTGCCAATTGCATGTTCAAGTTGGGTGTGCGAATGCTTCCATCACCCAAGATCTGTTGTCCAAAGCTCTTCATTTGTCTCCAGGTATGAGGCCATGGGCTGCCTCATCGGTTCCGCCGTCTTTCCTGTCGCTTTCCTCCTCCTCTGGCGGAAGGCCAACGCTATCGGCGCCTTGGCCGGCGCGATCATCGGAATGATTGCGGGCGTCATCACTTGGCTCGTGGTCGCACAGGTGATTTATGACGTCACACTTCAGATCTCGTTGGCTCTAGAGACTAAGAGCGCACGGCACTCAGCTATGTCGACCTGATTGGTCGCGAAATCTTCCTATCGTGATCAAGTGTTTTTCAGCGACTCAAAAGCATGAGAAGGGGCGCATAAGGCCCCCGTCAATTCGTGCTTCGACGCCTTTTCCTCACCATCCTCGACCTAATTATCCAGGCTTGATTCGTTTGGACACGCTTCGAGAGTGGCCCCCTGTACTTCTACAAGCTTCCTTGGAGAGAAGCAAACTTTCAAGCCCAGCTTACACTACATTTTCGGTCACACAAGCCCGTACGCAGTTCTCAACGCTTAGGTGCTCACTGCAAGCTCGTAGCTTCCGGATAAGCGAGGCTAAGTGAAGTATGTGACATCACCTGGCTCGCCCTTCGCAGCCTTCCGTTTGTGACTTGGCATGGAAGTCTCTCTCACTGGTGCACCAGAATCCACTGCACACAAGGAGATTTGCAGTGGACAATGTTCAGAACAGCACTAGGTCAGCGTCCAGGACCCATTTCCGCTGACCTCTTGCGAAGTTCCGCTGCAGGTTGACAACGGAGCCCTGAACCTGTACACGACCGGAAAGGACGGCCCCATGCTGGCGGGTAACCTGGTGTCTATCCTTACCGGCGGAATTATTCACATCACATCCAGCCTCATCTGGCCCCAGGTAACACCAGAATCCAGCACTTGGTGTGTGTAGACCTGCCCGAATTTAGATTGAGAGCTGAATTTTAAGTCTAATTGAACCCAACGTTCATCGTCTTGCACCATTTTGACTGGTTCAAGATGAGCAGTTCGACTGGTCAAGAACAGCCTCTCAGATCTTTTGGGGAATATTTCCTGTTGCACATGCACCTCCAATCAACATCACGAAATACAATTTCTGATGAGCTAAGTACTGAGGCTTTCCAGATATCCCCTTGCAAGATTTTGACTGGGACCGGAATGAAGCAGATCAGGTCTGATTGGGAACGACGCATCCGATCTCACCTTCCGCAAACCTCAGTCATAAGGCCCGAGTAGGCCAAGTGATAGTATCTGAAGAGAGTTTTTCAGAAGAATTCCGAGTATTCTTGATTTGCAAATGTACCGTGCGTCCTGATTGGAAAGCTTCGACTCGGTTATCAGATGAAGCGGATTACCCTCGTCGAGAACGACGCCTCTGACCTCACCTTCACAAATCACAATCAGGAGAGCCAAGTAGGCCAAGTTCTTTGATTTTTGAAGAAGTTCGTCAGAAGCTTTACCAACACTCCTATTTGCAAATACAGCGTGCGTCTTGTTTGCAGAACTTCGACTGGGACAAGATGAAGCAGATCACCCTCGTCGAGAACGACGCCTCCGATCTTCCCGACGACGAGTACGACCCCGCCAAGCTGGCGCACGCTAAGTGGTGGATCATCAAGTGGGGCTGCACCTTCAGCTTTGTCATGCTCATCCTGTGGCCCGTCGCAACACTCCCCGCGCGCGAGTTCGGCATCGTCTACTGGACTTTCTGGGGTGAGCACTTGTTGGATTTCCTCCTCCTTTTGCTTTTATAGTATTCCTTCCTCAGAATTCTACTGTCTCCCTCCTTCCCAAAGATCGGAGTTGTCAAGCTTTCACTATCAAATGCTCACCATCTGGCCCGTCGCAACGTCACTCCCTGCTGGAGTTTCTAAGGTGAGCACTTCGTGCATGGATTCGTTTCCCGTTGTTCACGATCTATGCGCCTTACGTTTTTGCCGCTTTGTGTTTGCCAATCTGGGGAAATGTTGACGATAAAGGAGTAAGATAGGACACAACGTGGGCCGCGGCCGCCAGTCATGCTATAAGTCAGCATGACACACCTCCAGTAACTGAGCACTTTGACCTCAATCTCATTCCCCGCTCCGGTTATCGAGTTTCTTCTTTTCCCCTATTCACTAACACCCACAGTCACCTGTTTCCGCCTGTCAACGCACTCGAGTTTCTTCAGTCCCTACGTGATCATGACGTCATTCCTGACTACGTGTCCCTTCCCTGCAGTCGTCATCGTGCTCGCGTGGGGCACGATTGCGTCAGTGGTGATCATCGTTCTGCCGCTGTACGAATCCTGGGCCGGCATCAGCCTGGTCCTCAGCGGCCTCTTTACCTCCGACGTTCTCTACAAGAAGGTCGAGGTAAGAGTGTCAACAAACTCTAAATTACGGCCATGTTGACTTCACGCCTGCCCGAAGGACGGTTCGGTTTAGTCTGAGGGGTTCCGGCGGTTACCGGTGCGCGGAGCATTGCTTCTGGGTTTCATTCTCAGTTTGTTTGAGCCTGGAGAACCGGTCTTGATACTCAGTCTTCACAAGCCTAGGTAGACCTAGTATCGAGAATTACTGGAGGCAAGAGCTCCGAGTCGGCCAGACCTACTTTCGCTTGAAATCTTCGGGGTTAGGAAGACATACGTACTGTTTCAGCCCGCCTGGCTCCGGCCCAAGTCCCGATCGATCTGGAAACGCACAACAACTGACTCCCTGAAAGAGGCTTTGCGTGCCTCGCATGGCGATCTGTGAGTCTGGTGCCGAGCGCTTATGTTGATTTTATCCTGAAAGCTGGACACGGCTCTGCTCTTCAAACACGTTCGAGGAATGGACTCGGATCCAACTTGCAGGGGCCTTTGATGGCGGGAAAGTGCTGTGACTTATTAGTCTCGTGACAAGGGCGTCTTTCCTCCAGCAGGAGCTTATTGCTTTCAACCAAGCACAAGCTCTGTTCTTCCCCCGATACGTACAGCAAAACGTTCCTGTTACATCCAGAAGATGTAAAGCGCTGAGAGACCGGAAGCCCAGGATTCTTTTTTGTTTGTGCAGGACCTGGATGCCAAGATCGACGCCATCATTCGATCGAACCCAAGCTACGAAGCGGCGTACCTGCACCCCGGCACAAAGGAAGTTTCGCCCCCGCCCGAAGACTAGGGATACGGGCATGAGCAGCCTTATTGCAAAGATCGGCGATTTTATTGAGAGCCTGAGTGTACAACAACTGAACAGCTTAGAGCTTGACTTAGATGAGGAATCTAATCTGAGGCCCGTTTGTAGGGCACTTAACAGCGGCTCAAGTCGAGTACGCTTCTAAACAATTTTGCCTGAGTGAGACGTCTAGGCATTACAAAACTATTGGCGTCTTCCCACATGTAGAAGACCGTTAAAGACTTCCATCCTTGTAAGAGTGGAAGCGCCGCGGTGACGACGAAGCTTTTGTCACGTATTGAGAAGAGCTATACCGGTCTTGATCCTTGTTGGGTAGAATTCGGGCCAGTGATAACAAATTAAAGTCCGATTATTCTTGAGCGTCAGTTTGCTCCGAAACTCAAACTGCATAAGGGCGGGTTCTTTTCGACCAGTAAAAGATGGGCAGCAATATCACCACCGTAGGCGCACGCTGCGTGCCAGGTTGGCCGCAGCATGAGAGACAAACTTAGGGAATGAGACTTGCACAATTGATAAGCAGACCTACTTACCATCATCGATCAACAGCCAAGGCCCTCAGCCCAAGGGTCAAGCCCAATATACTCATCATGCATTTGTATACGTACTGATGATAAACTGATTAGCATGCTCAACTGACTGTGTAATTCCATCGCACCCCTCGTACATTTTAGCACCAACGGCGTTTAATCAGCAGTGGTATCTGTCGATGTCACGGCACCGACGTTTGCAGTGCAGATTCGTGTGCAAATGATCCCGGAGAATGATTGGGTTCCAGCTAGCAGCGGCTCAGCTAGCTACGTATCTCTTCAAGCCTGTTGTTTGATGCCGATGACAATTAGATGAAAACACAGATGAAATCAACTGAACTTCAGACCGGTCCGACGCGCAGGGGCGGTTGTGGTTGTCATCACATGGAACTTAGGCCGCGATCCCCTGCTGCCCACAAAGACGATGTACTGGGAGTCACGTGAAGCACCGCTGTTGCACAGCCGCCGCGCGCAGCCGCCATGTCGGTGTCAGGCGCCAGGTTATACCTGCACCGGGCTCGTCATGGTTGGAAACTCGCGATTGTCGGCACGAGCCCGGGCCGTGCTCGGGTCATGCACCAGCTTTCATCGACCCCTCGATCACCCTCGACGGGCGGCGGTCGGAAGGCCCGGCGGCAGATCGACCCAGACCCTACTCAGACCGGCGATCGCGGAGGCGGCCGTCGATCTTCCTATGCCGGGTTACTGGTGCGTCTTGTGATCTTTATGCAACTTAGAATCTCAGAAAGAACCTGCCCCCACTTGGCCATGCAAGTCACATATATCGTAAGGCGGCGGCTCAGGCATCGACCATGCAGGTCGGGACCCGGCAGCATCGCGTCGGGCATTGGCGCGCGCTCTAGCTCTTCGATCTTTGAAGCTGGCAAAGGTGCAATTCCCAAAAGCGTTGAACCTCGAAACATGTACAGTCCGGATGCGCCGTGAAAGCGCCAGAATACAATGCTGATGTCATGTCGTTTCGTGTCATGTCGTTTCAGACTGGGACTCAAGAGCGCGGCGCCCTCAGCGACTCGGCGCCCAAGCATTGAACGGGCATTGAACTTCGGAAGTTCAATGCGTGGGCGCCCGCCGGCCGGGGACGCGATTTCTTGACGCGGCCGCCTACCGCGGTGGTGGGTCCCCGCGGCCGCTCAGTGTTTGGCTGCGCGATGATGCCGAACGACGTACGCCCGACGATGATGATTCAGACCGCGCCAATCGACGGCTGATGGGGCCCAGAGTTTCAACTGCTCTTTGCTTTGGTGAAGGGCCGCTGACATGGTGATGTGAGCAGGTGGACTCGGATTCCGGGACGCTGCTGAGGCAACTTCTGCGTTGTCAAAATCAAGAATCGGTTGGGGCATGCACTTTGGATGCTTTCCTTGTACACCTAAAAGGCTGCTTTGAGTCTGCAGCAAGCCATGACCAGCTGGAGCCGCTTTCTTCATGACCGCAAAGAGACAAAAGAATATGAGTTGGAGGTCGCGGCTAGAAGAGAAGTGCTTAGCCTTAGGAAACCTCTTCCAAAACAGCGCGTTTGCACGCCATGATGCAAGAATTTGCAAGGATAGGTCCTAGCCTAAGTCTTCGAGAAAGACGCTGATACGAATACAACCACACCTACCATGCATGTTGTCAGATTGGACTGCTCCAGTACCTGCTGACGCATGCAGAGGTCGTGACCTCTGCGTATGTTACAAACAGCAATCTGAAGAGCTAATAGCAGCGGATACTTGAGGAGGGAAGGTTGTGAAAGCGGGTTTATTGGTCGCGTCAACAGCAGAACCTGCACTCAAGAGTCCACGTTGCGCAGGCTCAGCTGAACTTCAAGGAGACTAGCTTGACCACTGAAAAGGAGTCTAACAATCTGCTAAGAAGCTCGGGGAGAACGGGTCGAGGCTGCCGAAATAACAGCAGGTGACGTCTGCAGTTAGAATTGCCGCCTGTACTTTGAGTGACCGCTTGACACAATGTTGGAGCCTAGCATAGTTGTGGCCAGGCTTGGCTCACCAATGCCAGCCAGTAGACCTAAGCAGCAAGCTAGCAAGGTGGCTGTTTTGGGGTCACCAGATAACAGCAGTGATAATCAGCGTCTCTCTGACCTGCAAAATACCTTGCTAGCTGTTTCTTTCAAACATTCCTGTTTTGGAGCCCTAGTTTTCCGGATCTGCAGCCTACTTATCAAGGTGGCCGACTTAAGAACAAGCAAATTGACAATTTATCATTCAGAGCAGCTCAGATCCTTGGCATTACTGAGGAGGGCTGCCGAAGAAAGCGCAGCACTAATCAACAGAACTACATCCACACAAGCCGCCAGTCTGACCCAGCTCAATCGTTCCCCGACAAAACCGAACCGAACAGCTTGCTCGGCACATTCTTTTAGCTGCACGCGCTCTTTCTTGCTGGCGCCATTGCACCAGCCTGACATTGTTTGAGAGTCAAGCTTTCCGAGCAACATTCGCTCTGGTGTTCCCAAGCAACCCGAGATCGTTTCTACTGATCAGCAGCTCCTGCTGCTGACGTCATCTGCAACAAGCAGCTGGCGTAACTCCTCACCGACGATCTGCGTCTGGAGCTTACCTCGAGCTCCAAAATGGCGCGCAATACTTACACGTTTCTGTGTGTCCTCGTCATGGCGGCAGCCCTCACCAGCTCAGGTGAGTCTTGCTAGATCTGTTTTGTGCTCGTTTTCAACCTATACAATCCATTAAGAACCAGCGTTTTATCTACGTTGAGTTTCTCTGGCACAAAGGATTCTCGAACTACTGCTGAAGAGTCCTTTGACTGCTGCTTTGAGTTGCGTCACTAAAAGGATTTTGGAATGGCGTGTTGAACAAAAGCAACCGCTGTCTTCTCACATCAGTTACACAATGAACAGCTTCGATATCAGATCGGAAGTCGACTGGTGCTTGCACAAAGTCTCAAGGGTGCTTCTGCGACTTGCTCCATGTTTGTCCAGAAATACATCCGCAAATGTAGTATGCATCAGCAGATCTCTAGCTTCATTGCGGCATCCAACCTACACTGAGCTTTTTGTCAGTTGCTTCTGACCAATGTACTAGCAGTCTGCTCTCTATTTCCAGTCTCTTACCCTGTCATCAGATAGTCCAACAGCTCAAACAGCTTCTTTATATCGCCTCAAATGCTCCCTAGGTCCGCACTTGCTCCTTGCTTTCATCAGGACGTCAGCCTGATTCCCCTCTGGTGACTTTCAAGACCGCTTTTGCTGACGTCATCTCCCCTCCTGCAGTGATGGCCCGCCCCCTGGTGGACGACTTTCAAAGGAGCTCAAGCAGGAACCGGGTGCTAGTCGGTGAGAAAGCTGAATTTCGACTATTGCTTTAAAGTTGCAAGTAATTATAACGTTTATGGGTTTAGGAACAAAGGCAGCTGAGCCAGAAGGAGGGGGTTCGATTAGAGGCAGACTGCAGCTTCGCTCAAAGAAAGACAAAAATCGCCTATGAGTTTGACTTTGTTTGAGAATTGGGGCTCTTGTGATTGCGAAGCAGGGCTTGAGAGGTTTGGGCAGGGGGTCGACGCTTTCTCGGCAAAAGGGTTTGGTCAGCTGAAATAATGAACGATGGAATGATGAAAGTTGGAAGCTTCAGGTCAGCTTTGCCAAGATAGTACCAAGCAAAAGGTTTGCTGCTGGAATCTGTTCACTTTCTTTTGATTGTCAATGCCCCAGACTTGGGAATAGCTGATGTTCCTGCAAACAACCTGGAAAAGTCACCGACGAGAGCATCACAAACCGAATGCCAAAAGAAGCTCGAAGCAGCTGCAGTAGTCCACCAAAAGCATCGAGCTTCGAACCAGCACAACAGTTTGATCAAAGTCAGAAACATTACAAGCGAAGCACCAGAAGCATTTTCTAACTCTTTTCTCCTTGTCTTCTTTTCAGAGGGCCCTGTTTCCGCTCCTTCCATTGCCCCAACCGACGCCCCCGCTCCAACCGACGCCCCCGCCCCCATGACAGACGCCCCCGCACCGTCCGTTGGTCCGACCGACGCACCTGGACCGTCCGATGAACCGGCCAGCGCACCTGGACCGTCCGATGAATCGACCAGCGCACCTGGACCGTCCGATGAGCCGACCAGCGCACCTGGACCGTCCGATGAGCCGCTCCCGGTCTCAACCATGTTCCTCAACATCGCCCCCGGTCCCGCCGTTATGGACCCGACCGTCGCCCCGGGGCCTGGAAGCGTCATCATTACGTCATCCAACGAAACCGCCGCTGCGCCCGAGTCCACCCTCCCGCCGGAGGCCTACCAGTCCGTTCCGCCCGTCACCAACGGAACGGCCAACGGAACGGTGGCCCCTGTGCCCGGCGGCCCCGCCACGCAGGCGAACACGACAGCGTCCGAGAACGTGACGTCACCCGATGCGTCGCCCATGCCTATGGCGGTACCCACCGCTCCCTTGCCCGAATACTCCGCAACCACGTGGTGCGGAACCCTGGAGTGCCTCCAAACCGCTATGGTCGTCGCGCAGGTAAGCTATGCCCAACCGCTCAACCGCTGTTCGAATCCTTCGGATTTAGCTCGGAACAGTTTCTCCGACCTTAAAATGGCACGCTTGGTCTGACAAAGACAACCACTTCTACTCCTACTTCTTTGAGAAGTTCCTGCAAGCACCGTTTGGGAATATGTTTCTGCTCTAACCTGTGCAATCTTTCACAGCGGACGAATTCCTATCCCCCCTTGAGAAACAAAAAAGGTTGTGTCTCGCGTCTTATGCCTGACATTGCTCTCAGAAAGGCCTTCGCGGCAGTTCCCGCTTTGGCAACCCGTTACCCACAAACTCGTTCGGCCGACCAGTAGCAACAGCTCCCTGCAACCCTTTCGCAAACCAAGAATTGAGGAATCAAAAGCGAACGGACCTTCCTGCCTCTTCTATCAAAATGTTGAGTTCGGACTTGCTCCCTTTTTGTCCCGAAACTGTTAATGCTAGCCCGATCTCAATCCAAAGCAGAATCAAACCAGAGATTATGCTTTGCAGAGCAACAACAACTCCATCATTTACGTCACCGACAACATCGACATGACCGGCCAAACCCTCCCGGCGGTCACTAACTACCTCGAGGTTATGGGTAACTGCCCCGACGGCTGCTGCTGGATCGACGCGCACCAGCTGAGCCAGGTCTTCGTGGTGACGTCAGCGGGGCACTTTACGTCACACATGCTGGAGATCCGCAACGGAAAGGCGGCCGGGTGCGGAGGCGCCGTGTGGGTTTCGGAGGGTGCCAAGGCCGGGTTCTTTGACACCAAGTTCAACAACAATTCGGCACAGGTGAGGGTTTGGTTGGGGAAAACGTTCATGAACGAAGCAAAGCAGTTGAGCTCTATCGAATCACGAGGTCGCTTTGCTCTTATTGGGCTGAATCTAAGCTTCTTTTGCATGTTGTTTGTGATAACATCGAGCGTGAGTGCTGAGTCTGCCGCTGAAGCGCTCGGGGTGGGACGTGGACAAGTGATCTTGCGTCAGGAAGCTTGCAGAAGGATGAGAATGAAGTTTTCTGAATTGAGAACCCGCTTTCTTCTGCTACCTAGATCACCAATTCTATCACTATCGTTGAAGCCGCATACCGCTTCCCTAACTGCAAAAATTTACTTTCAGATTACTTCAGCTTGAGACCAATTCTCGCTGCTCATTTCCAGCCCCAGCCCATAGAAACATAGAAACCTCAGGCCGTCAAATTGCTTTAAACATCAGTCAAAGCTTTTTCTTTCCAGTAAGAAGCCCTGCAATCTCAAATCGCTAAACCGTCGAACCTCTTGCGCAGACTGGTGGCGCCGTGTGCTTCGACAAGAACACGAGCGGTTACTTCAAGGGCGGCAGTTTCAAGGGTGACGTGGCGTCAACAAACGGTGGTGACGTGTACGTCGAGACGGGTGCTTGCGTCACCTTCACGAACGTCAACTTCCGGATGTCGTTTGCCGACAAGGGCGGCGCCGTTTACGCCAACACGAACGGTTCCGTTGACGTCGGGTACAGCTTCTTCGACCGGAACGCCGCAACGGTGAGATTTCTCGCCTTTATAAGCGCTGGTTTTCATGCAAGCAAGTGATGTGATCACCTTTAACTAGTTATAAGTCGTATGATGCGATGCAGGAAAAGAGTGAAAGAAACCAGACCTAGTCATACTCAAGAGGTAGAGTGAGGCGTGAGTCGCATACAGCGATGTGATTGTAAGATGCAAAGAGCGTTGAGGAGTGACGAGTGTTCAAAGTGAAGAGTTTTGCCTGCAATAATCAGTGCTAGAAGAACGACAGGCCAGAGAGATACTTTGGACACAGAATCCGACAGAAAAGATATCCGGAGACGAATTTTCTGCTTTGAAATCCCAATGGGCGCTGATAAGTGTCGCTTTTTCAACAGACCGCGGGTGGCGCGATCGCGGCAGCAACCGGCTCCACTGTCAGCGTCGAGTTCACCCAGTTCGCTGGCAACACAGCCCCGGTAAGTTCCCCCGGTTGCAGTAGTCGGAAACTTTGAGCCTGCTCCCGTCTTTAGAAGTAAGAGTTGTTTCTCCCGGCCAACGGATCGAACAGGTGCAGCAGCAGCATTGCGGCTGCTTTGCAAACATTCGCAGCTTTCGCGAGTCCGAGTGAGCAATCAACACAACCAGTGACAATGCGTTTGTCGTCGGAGGATTCTCAAGGGGTCTTCGTTTGCGCCTTGAAATAAATGCCTGTCACTGTAAGTATTCGGAGGCTGCTTTGAATTCTAGGAGTCGTTTGTACCGTCGGCTGCGTCTGCAATGAAGCTTCTAAGATGAGACTTCCCTTCGGATTGCGGCCTTGGAAGTGTTCCTTTTAAACATTTTACTAACCCCCAGATATGTGCGAACGCAGACCGGAGCCGACGCGGCTCTCGAGGCGGGTGTCACAAATTCGTTCTACAAGGATACGTTCACCGCTGCCGGCACAGTTGTGAACGGCAACGTTTGCGATACGCCAACTGGTGAGCTTCAGGACTCCTTCGATGAGTCCCTTCGGTTCTTCTCCTCTCAGGACTGACCAAAAACCAACAGCTGTCGAAACAGAGTTTCTACATTTAACCACGATTGAACATCTCGCTTGTCGGTATTGCATGTCTGACGTTTCCACCTCTCGTTTCAGGCCACTCAATGAAAGAAGTTACAGATCAGATTGCTGAAGAAACTCCTTCAGACATAGCGAGTCCTCTACTCTTCAAAGTCCAAGTCCTCGACCTCTCGATGAAAGACCTCATGAACTCATGAACCATCACTGAACCTCGTTCTTTCCGCCCTCCTGCACCACTTTCTCTCCGAAGCCCAAGTCCCTGACTTGGCGAACGAAGACATCATAAGTCCGCGGACCCCTTACTAACCTCTTCCTTAATGTTCCCCTGCAGCCACGTGCCGGTACCTCGCCCCGGTCTGTACCTGGATCCCCAACGACTGCAACATGCCCTTGACCCCGTTCCCGGTTCCCCAGCCGTCTCCTTCCCCCGCCTCTTCCCCGGTTCCTTCTCCGTCTCCCGCCGCCCCGTCGCCGCAACCGTCCAACTCTCCGGCAGTCCCCTCTCCCTCCCCCTCCCCCCGGTCATCGCCCATGACGTCACCTTCCGGCTCGCCCCTGGCGTCACCTCTTCCGTCAGCTTCTAGCTCCCCCCGGGCGTCTCCTGTTGCTTCCCCGGTCGCTTCACCGATCCCGTCACCGGTTGCTTCACCGTCCAGCTCCCCCAGGGCGTCACCAATTGCGTCACCGGTAGCGTCACCCCTTCCGTCACCTTCTAGCTCGCCCCGGGCGTCTCCCGTAGCTTCACCGATCCCGTCACCGATCCCGTCACCTTCCAGCTCCCCCCGGGCGTCTCCCGTAGCGTCACCGATCCCGTCGCCGCTTCCGTCACCGGTCGCTTCACCGGTTCCGTCACCTTCTAGCTCCCCCCGGGCGTCTCCCGTTGCATCACCAATCCCGTCACCGGTCGCTTCTCCGGTTGCGTCACCAACTGCGTCCCCTTCCAGCTCCCCCCGGGCGTCTCCCGTCCCGTCACCAATCCCGTCTCCGTCAGCTTCGCCTAGACCTTCCCCTGTCGCGTCGCCGAGCGCGTCGCCGGCCGCGTCGCCGGCTGCGCCATCTCAGTCACCAGTGGCGTCACCGCTCCCGTCACCTTCCCGCTCCCCGGTCGCTTCTCCTGGGCCCTCGAGCTCCCCCCGAGCGTCACCAATTGCGTCACCGATTGCCTCACCAATCCCGTCACCTCTGCCGTCCCCCTCCGCCTCTCCCCTCCCCTCGGCGCTGCCCTCCCCCTCGAGCTCGCCCGTGACGTCACCCCTGCCGTCAGCGAGCCCCTCCTCGCGCCCCTCCCCCTCGCTGATGACGTCACCGGTTCCATCTGCTTCCGCCTCTCCCGCCCCCGTCCCCAGCCCATCTGCATCGCCAAAGGCGCCGGTTTCGTCTACCGGCCCCCCGGCCGTCATCCAGGAAATAACCCCGACGCCAACCACGACACTAACCCCGACTAACCCCCCGGTTACCGCTGCCCCGGTCACTCTTCCTCCGGTCACGGCTGCCCCGGTCACTCTTCCTCCCGTCACCAAGCCCCCCAAAACGCCGTCCCCTACCGTGCAAATCCAGGGCGTTCCCACCACTTCACCCCCCACAACTTCCGCGCCTTCGACATCGCCCCCAACCGAAATCCCTTGCGATACCCCGGCAGCTGCTCCGGTTGCTCAGCCAACGCCCGCCCCCTCCGCATCGCCTATCCCCTCTCCATCACCTATCCCCTCAGCCTCGCCGTCGCCCGTCCCGTCGGCGTCCCCATCGGCAATGCCTTCGTCATCGCCTATGCCCTCTCCCTCCGCATCGCCTATCCCCTCTCCTTCAGCATCTCCTCTCCCATCTCCGTCCGCATCTGCTCTCCCCTCACCATCACCTATGCCCTCCCCTTCCTTATCTCCTGTCCCATCTCCTTCCGCCCAACCATCCCCGTCCCCTCTCCCCAGCCAATCGCCAATTCCCTCCCCCTCTGCCATTCCCTCCCCATCTCCCTCCCCCCTGCCATCGCCTATCCCCTCCCCATCACCTATCCACAAGCCCGTCCCCACTTCCGGTCCCGGGGGAACCCCCCAAGGCGGCCCTGTCGACGAGCCTACCCCCGCCCCGACTACCCCCGGGGGGATCCCCCAAGCTACCCCCGCTCCTGTTCCGTCCGCGCCCGTTCCGTGCGAAAGCGGAAGCGGAACGTCTGTGAAGGGCGACCCCCATCTGGTCGGGAAGCACGGCGAGCGGTTTGATTTCATGGGCGAAGCGGGCAGGGACTACTGCCTGGTCGCCGACAAGAGGGTGCACGCCAACATGCACGTGTTCGCCGGGCGGAGGGAAGGAACCACCGTAAGTCGTCGCAATCCCGAGCTCGTTCCGCTCCTTTGCTGTCTGCGAAGTGTGATTGAAGTCTTAGCTTGTTCGTGACTTTGAGCTTTCTGCAAGCTCAGTCGAACCAAGGTTTTGGTTGGCAAGATAACTTCTGGATCCCATCGAATTTGCAGTTACCGGTGCCGTCGCAGATCAAGTGGATTAAAGTGGTGTGGACAGAGAATCTTTGCTGAACATGTATATCCTGACTACTTAGAATGCGCGCAGCTTTACACGCAGCCTTATTTGGACCTCAGCTATGATACACCATACGCTTACGAGGAGAACCTAGGAAAGTGAAGTTCGAGGCTATATAGACCCTAGATTCAAAAGAAGGAAAAGAAGAGCGGAAAGAAGATTATAACGAGAATTGGGCTGACTGCCAAATTCTTCCCCTGCAGTACATCTCGGAGATCGGTCTGCTGGTGGACTCCGACGAGATCTTCGTTTCCGCCAAGTCCGCGGATTCCGCCGCCTGGAAGGACTTCCACGGAATGGTCCTCGTGAACGGGATCGAGCTCCCGCTCTCTGACGTCAGCATGGCGCTCGCGAACGGGCTCACGATCACACGTGGCAAGACGAGCGTCAGGGTTGCTAAGGCGGGCGTCCTTGACGTCACCATGGATATTGCGCGCGCGTCTTTCTGGGAGAACGGCCCAGGCCAGAACTTCGTAAGTTATACTTTTTTTTCCAGTCTTCCTTCCGCTTAGTATCGGAAGTCTCTGACCCGATCACCGCACCCGATCCACAAAAACCACCGTGAGAAGAAGACACGACTTTCTTGCGCACAGCGCTTATGCCCTTGGCAAGTCCGCTTAATCCAAATTCAGCAAACTATGGGCTAAGGTCAGAATTTGGGGCTTCACTGTAGTGGATGTAAAGGGGAGGCGTACTCAGAACAGGTTTGGGATGCTACAACACTTCCTCAAGACCTCAAATACCCACCATGTCGTTTGCTTAACGAAGTAATCTCGTTAGGGAGAAAGTTTAGTAACTCCTGACTCGCAAAAGCGGATAAAAGCAAAGATTCGTAAACCCCAGTTTGCTCCAAAACTCGACTCTTAACCACTTTCTGGGCGCCACTTGCAGATCAACTTTAAGGTGACGTCACTCAACGTCAGCCCCGCCGTCCACGGAGTGCTCGGGCAGACGTACCGGGAGGATGAGCGGACGTACAAGAAGCTCGCCCACGGAACGGAATTCAAGAAGCTGCGGAACAACGGAATGCCGTATTACGTCGATGGCGAGGAGTCGGACTACCTGTCATCAGGTGAGGGTGTGAATAGGATCACGAGGAGCCCGTTTTGCCTGACAGGAATGGCTTAGTTGGAGGACCGTTGGGGGAAGTTCCCATAACGAGAACGTAATTTTGGAAAGATTGCTCAATAAAGTGGGTCTCGGACCATTACTAAATGTGAGTACTTGATTACTGCTAAGAGTTTCTGGATTCTAATAGCTTCGCTGCTCATTGCTGTTGACCTCGAAAAACATATACTCAAGATTCTTTGCCATTCAGCGGACTTTCTGAAGCCTGTCTATTTTAATGTCACAACCTGGCTGGACTTGCGCCAAGTATCTTCTCTAGCTCGTTCGTGAATAGAAACGAAACCGCCGCACACAGCCAACCGGTCCTCTTGCCGTTGGTTGTGCCTGACTGAGGGATCTCACGGCAAACTCAAAATGTTTGAGTAAGCAAAAGCCGGCATTCTTTGTTGTCCCCCGGTCGCTTACCTTCTCCTCTTTTCCGCCCCAGGTATCATGGCTGCGGACTGCAATTTCGCCCGGTTCGCTCCTCAGGGGCCCAAGGCTTCGACCGGGGCAAGAAAGATGCTGTCATCCGAGGAGGCGACACTCACGGTTAAGGGCTCTGGTTTCGGTGACTTCTAGACGGAGAAAACAAAGCCTTGCACGTCGAAGCCAAGGAAAACCCAAATACTGACCCAACGGCTCCACTTACGGCCAATTCTTGACACGGTCACTAAAACCCCGGACGTTCAGTGAAGGAAAGACAAGTCGACAGTACAGTAGACGGTGATTGACCATATTCTGGTGCTTCATTTGAGGTATCAAATAGATTCCGACATTTTTGGAAGGTATGTGGTATCCTAACAGGAGCTGTAGGTGTTGTAACTTATAACAGACTGGCACTGTTGGTGCTCGACCGAACAGGATTGAACATCATAGGGGTCGATCGAAGAAAGGGCCGAATCGTATTTTGAGGTAGAGAAACTCCCACAGAGAAAATAGCGTACGGTCTCTTCCGCACAAATATGTGTAGAGGGTTCACGAAGTAGGCACTGACATCAACGCCTTGTTGGTGCACAATAGAATCGAAGTAGGATCACACAAACTTCGGACTGTTTCACTGCTACACAAATTAACCTGAGAGACGCCCCGCCGATTGCCGACGACTTCGACGTTCATTGATGTTTATGCACCACGGTAGTCACTAGATGCGACAATCCGACTCATCAGCTTAAGTATCAGCTCTGAAATGTTGCCTGGATACTTGTGAAAGGCGCATATCTTGCTGACATTCAACAGTATGCATATGCGGAAGCTCACTACGGATCACAATCCATTGGCCCATGTGGCGTACACGCCGCCCTTATCATTTGTAGGTAGAGTAGGACAAGAGCACCGGATTCAATGATGCCATACAAGTTTCAACAAGCATTGAATTGGTCAACATTACCGGATGTTTGAAGCTAGCTGGTTTGCATACGAGCCGCCTAGCATGTTAAACTCTTGCATGATATTGAAGTTCATGCAATTTGTCCGCCGTAAGGTAACTAATCCCGTGTAGGGGACTTTTTGCTATGAAGCTCTTGGCCGCGCGAGCTCACGGTTAGCTGACGCGTGTCCAGTACCCTGATTGACCTTACGCCGATCGCACGGTCAAAATTTGACTCAAAAATGAAGTCGCCGTCGATCGGAACTTAGTCAAACCTCCGTACTTCAATTTCCGGAATTTTCGGAGGCTGAACCTGACGGTCGAATTAACCGAGTACCGTCGATCGAAATTTGCACGAATTTGAACCCGATCGCGACGGTCGGAAGTTGGACACGCGTCAGCTAGCTAGGCTACTGTCAGGCCGAGAGCTTCATAGCAAAAAGCCCCCAGCCCATGCCTTAGCTTAGTTTTCTTATGGTCACGTACAATGTACGCAAGTGCATATGCAGCAAGCTGATCGCTACTAACTAACACCGTCACACACTTGCATAAACGTATACCTTAAAATCATTTAAAGTCGCGCGGCAGTGAAACAGCTTACAATATATGCCAGGATTTTGCCCAGCTAAGTACTCCACTAGCACTTAAACACATTATATATATCGGACTTCGAAGCCGTCAATATACGAAACTGAGAGCTGCCTGCCGACTCGATTGATAGAGTTCCTCATGCAGCAATGATGCATATCAAACGAACGGCCGCCGCGCTGATCAAACATAATCGATATGGTAGAGAATTGACTGCATGTCTCCCTTACCGTCACTCATATTTCAAGTTTGATTAAACCCCCAAAGTTGGCCCGGCCCTGTACAATCGCCGCCGGCACTGCCGATTCCTGGTGCATGCAACCAAGCATTGTACATGCACAAGTACATGACGTGCAAGTAACGATTCGCGCTCACAAGTGTTATGAAGAGCACAGAACCATACCGGCCCGTCTATAGGCCACAGGATCGGATCGTCCAACGACGAAGCCATTGCTCGCTCTGGCCGGCTCACGGTCGGAGTGGGTTCACAAGCAAGCCAGGCGTGCCAAGTCCCGGCCTAGCCTTGATGTCACTAGCTATGCATTCGCTTTCACATGCGTCAGCGAACCAAACGGTTGTATAATCCAAAGCCGGCAACTATTTGCAGACCCTACAAAACTTCCAAAACTCGGCTTACATAAACACTGGTGCCTTTCTTGTATCTTTTGCTCAATTGTTGCTGATTCGAAATTTGTCGGTACTAGGCCCAACAGACCACTATAATCAAGTATCCCCCTTTACCAGAGAGTTCTAGGTTGCATTTGCATATTTGGTAAAAGGAAACTAACCGAATGTCGGAGCTTTCATGTTCCTGCCGTCCACCTTGGCGAAGTCAAAGCGAAAACGCTAAACGGACCTACTTGACGACCGCGACGCTCCTCCCTTTGCCATATCAACACGGAGCTTGCAATAACAACGGACTACATAACCAAGCCCGGCAAATTTCAAATACAGTCTATCTGATTGTTTCAAACCCCTCCAAAAGGAGGTAGCTTCGCCAGCTGGGTGCTGACGATCTCATGTACGTCCACCCGATGGAAACGGATGATGAAGTTGACGTCTTCCCACAAGAACGCGAAGTTGCCATTCTTTTCCACCAACAACTGCCCGGGTACCCACTGCATGCAGAGAACAAGGTCAGAGGGTTGTTCTTATCTCGGAAAACCAGATTTCCAATTTACAAAACGGCGTTAATTAAAGTGGGCGTCAAATTTCAAAGCCGGGAAATGCACACTAGTGAGTCTGAGTCCCTAGGAGAGCCTCGAGAAGGCCAACTCTGAGCCGTCCGATAGATTCAACTTGGACGTTCAAACCGTCCGATGTCCAGGTGCACTCGCGAGTGCATACGCCCACTTTAAAGCTGACCGATGTGAAACGACAAAAGAAACGCCACTTTCGCAAAAAGAGTGGACGGTTGGAAGTTGGCGATTCAGAGGAGACGCAGGTCAAACAGACACGGGTCAGCTTATATATGAAGTAGGGTTCCACATTCTCGAGCCCTTTCCGACGCAGCCGTCCTCCACATATCGGAGAGTAAAGAAAGGCCAAGCAGTACGATACGTTCCTGACTGCCGTGATTAATCAACAGACATCTCGAGCTGACCCTCAAACATTTTGGAACGATCAAGCAACATTTCTGGCTTAACAATCCACAACAGAGCCTCCATCCAAGCCAATTGCAATCGGCAGGTGTGCTGCAGGGGACAGCAGACTGGAAACGAGCGGATCCGCATCAAATGCATGTCTCGTGGCGCCAAACGGTCGATATCTCATCTACGAAAAAGCATGCAGGCTGGTCAACTGTAGGCAGGAGAAGTTGCCGCACCTGGGGGTACCGGAAACCATAACCTGCAACGCGCCCGTAGCCACGATACCTGCAAAAAGGACAGTAGCAGTTCGTGATCAGAAGCAATTTGAGGCGGACGTTCCAATTAAGAACGTCGAGACGGGTTAACTTCAACAGAGTTTCCGGCCCTAGTTAAGAATGTGAAGACGGGTTCGCTCCAACACGGATACTGGCGAGTTGGGTTAGGAGCACTGGCGCTTGGACTTCCGCACGAGCTTTGGTTGTAGAGGGGAGACAACGGGTCTCTGCAATTGTCGAAACTCGTGATTTGCCAACGACTATTTGAGATTTGACACGTGTCGAGTATGAACTGACTGCCGAATGCAGGAAAATGGGAACCCGCTAAGTAGCAGACTGAAGAAGCTACAAAGGGGAGCTTGCAATGAAAGAAACCTGGTCGAGAAGAAGCGCAGCCAGTAAGGCTAACCGAACATGAAAGGCAGGCAATTGATAGAGAAACCAAACGCACAGAAGACCATTGGAGAAGACAATAAGCAGACAAAGCACTAGGAAGGGGTTAAAGGAGCTGATGTCAGATGCAATGGAAAGAAGCACGGCATTCTTAGGGGATTAGGGGAATGGGAGAAGATCGAAGGCAAAGGAAGGGCGGGAGAGAGACACGCACAACGGCTAGGAAGTTGGGACCGCATCTGAAGAAGTAGAGGTCAAAACCAGACAAAGGCAAAACCAAACGAAAGGATCACGTATAGACAAAGAGAGACGAAAAACTGAAAGGGAGAGGAGGAAGGCACAGAAACACGGCACACGAGAGACGAGCTTGAGGTGGGGAGAAGGGAACATCTGCGAAGAAAGTCACGGAGAAAGAGGGGCTACAAAAAAAAGAAGAGCACTGCGCACCTCTTCACAATGTTCTGCTCGATCTCCTCCCACTCGACGTCCAGTGAGTTGGTCACCACTTCCCCTGGGAGCGTAGTCGTCCGCTCGGACTCCAGCTTCACTTGGAACGACACCTCGCCGCACGGCACGTTGGGATCGCCTGCCAGAGAAAGGAGCGGGATCAGCTTGACACTTTTTGATCAGATATTCACTCGAAAACTCAACATCTGCAATGCTCTTCGTAAGAAGGGATGAGCTTAACACTTTTGATCATACATTCACTCAGCAACTCAATATCTGCAATGCTCTTCGTAAGGCCGGCTTCAGCCGCGCTTATTGCTCACATATGCTTCAAGACCAGGCTGAAATCATTTGTTCTTTTGCTCCTTGGGAAACGAAAGTCAGCGCCCCCTGGCTAGATCTTTCTTTTCCTACGGGCACTCCAATCCACAACCCTGACGTCCGCAAAGAATTCGCTCCTCGTTGTAAACACGAAAAGAATGAATTCAGAATTAAGAACGATCGAGAAGGACAAATGATTGAGGTGCGCTCTCACCCAGCATCTTTGTGGCCGTTATCCGGTTATCATCAGTGTACGTGACCAACAAAATCTCCCGCCCGTGCGGCCCGTAGACCCCGCTCCACAGCCCCGCCAACTCCTGAACCTTGCTGGGCTCTGGCACCGCTATTTTCTTGTACGTCGACAAAGGAACGACGGTGCGCCCCGGCAGTTGCTCTGTAGGGCAGCCTGGAGAAAAAGCAGCATCACAAATGTTTCGTCTTCAACTTTTTCTGTTTGCCTTTTCCTTCGCCTTTTCCTTTTTCTGGAGAAAGGTCGAAGGGAAAGAAGCAACCTGTGGACTACAATTTCAACAGCGACCTTCTTGTACGTTGACAGGGGGACGCCGGTGCGCCCCGGCAGGTGCTCTGCTGGGCAGCCTGGAGAATAAACAGCCATTCTCGCACGTTGAAAGCGGCCATTTTCCTTCTTTTTGCTGGGGAGGTCGATTGGAGGAAGGTTTTTGAAAAGAAGAAACAAGTGGAAACGGGATGTCAACTGCAACCTTCTTGTACGTCAACAGGGGGACGACCATGCGCCCTGGCAGTTACTATGCTGGGCAGCCTGGAGAAAGAGAAACAACCATTATTTTACCCATTTTTCTTTCTCATGAGCGTGTTGAATCTGGAGAAAGAAAGTCAACGGAAAAGAAGGAATCAACGCAAATGCGGTTGATAACTGCAACCTTATCGTACGATGACAGGGGAACCACTGTATGTTCCGCCAGTTGCTCTGCAGGGCATCCTGAAAGGAAGAAGCATAGCATTAATGCACTCGCTCTCCTTTTTTAAAGAGCGAAAGGAGACTGACGAAGAACCTGAAAGAAACAAGCAACCAGTAAACTGCAACCTCAACTGCAAACCTCTTGTAAAATGGGAGGGGGACAACCACACGCCCCGACAATCGCTCTGCTGGGCAGCCTAAGAAGAAAAAGAAGCAGCCAGTAAATGCCATTTTTCCTTTCCCCCAAGTGGAACAGGACTAAAGGAAGGGTCTCCAACCGAAGAAGCAAAACATCAATTGGAGATTTGACTCCTGCCACCTTCTTGTGCGTCCAAAAACGGGACAACTGGACAACAAGGGCCAAGCAATCAACCCACAACTTTTTCTTTTCCCTTCAGTGAAACAAAAGGGAAGAAGGGCCTGAAAGGATACACAACCAACCAACTGCAACGTCAACTCCAACCTTATTGTACAGCGAAACAGGGACCACCAAGCACCCTGGCAATTCCTCTGCTAGGCAGCCAGGAGATGAGAAGTTGCAACCTGGCTGCTCAGTTCTCATTCCACAGGCAGCAAAATGAAAGAAAAAGTTTGAAGCAAACCATTGAACCAACTTACTGCAACAACTTTCCTTGGAAGCGCAAGTCTAAGCCGGATAAAGAACTGGATCAGATCAATCAACCAACACAAGCACACAATCACCACAATGAAGCTGCTAGAACGCCTCACCAGGTCCCCTTGGTGTGTTCGCCAATCGGAGCAGGTACTCATACGCATGCCGCCTTATTTCTCCCGGCGCCTGGCCCTGCCCTTGACCCTGTGCGCGCGCCTCTAGTTGCTGCAACTCCGGGTTACTGGCCGCCCCTAACCACAGGTTCCGCACTAACTGCTGCTGCCGCAAGTGCACTCTCAGCAAGTACTGCCGTCGCGCCTCCTCGGCGGTTAACCCTGACCCTCCCCTAACCGGCTCTGGGCTGACCCTGTTGGCAACCCTCTCAGAAGAAACCCTTTCTGAGCTAACACCAACGCTTGTGGCCGTGCTGTTGTCTGGAGAGGAAACTTCTAAACCCCTAACCCTGCTTAACGTCGTTACCCGCGATAACTCCAGGCTGTAGCGAGCCTGGTCGGCCGTTCCACTACTAACTGCTCTCACCTCCCCTCGCCTCGTTATGCTTCTTTCTTGCAGCCTACATACCTCTTCCATTTCGGGGGGCCTTTTCCAGCTGCTTGCTTGGCCCCCTGTTTGTGAGGAAGGCTCCCCCTCCTCAACCCCCTTTTCTCCGGGCAGCCACTTTGGAAACCCATCCCCATAAACAAGCGTCCGAGACCCCTCTCCGCTGACTGAAGCACTCGCCCCTTGTGCCGCATCCTGCGAGCTTTCACCCCCCTCCCTAGTTGACGCCTCCCCTTGCTGGACTGCCCCCTCTTGAGGAACTGCCGGTTGCCCCCCATCTCTCTCGATGTTGACTCCAAACAGAGGGGGCGGGGCCCCCCTTCTCCCAGGGAAGATCGAGTCAGGGGGGCCGAGAGATTCTAGGAAGAACTCGGAGGCCTCGGCGTCGAGGTTGAGCGCGCCCGGCAAGCAGACCTCGATGTTGTCGCGCCCAGTTAAGAGGTTCACCAGGGAAGTGCCGTCGGGGCAGCCGATCACTTCAAATAATCTCATACACAACAGCCCATGTCCTGCACATAAAACTCGTCAAAAGTCAAGAGCAGGAACCTCTTCCAACACTTGATAATGTCCTGGATATGACACAGCCCAAGAGAAGCAGAGCCAAGGGCCCGGTTGCAAATCTTGGTGTCAGGTTCAAGGTGGAGACTGTGAAAGGGCAAAAAAAGACCACCGGGCAAAGTCAAGAACCTCAACAATTGACGAATGAGTCAAGCTTATCCTGAAATCTTGGACTGAGGATTCGATATACTCAAACCTTCCACCAGAAAAGGATTCAAATCCAGGGCTTGAGAACACATCCAGGAAGGGTTTAGAAGGGGATTGGAAAATACCTGCTTTTCAGACTGTGTTAAGAGAACATTAACAAGCAGACCTGAGCAATCAGAAACCATCATTCAAGGGCCATCAAGCTTCTTTGAAACGTCAGTGTCAATCAAACGGAATGTACTCTCCACAAATGTCGCCCTGAATCTTTAGGATCTTGAAGAAAGAATCCTGCCCCCATTCTTTGGATCTTGAAAGAAGAATCCTGCCCCCATTCTTTAGCCTCACGACTTGGGTCATACCTGGTCAAAAGCCGCAGCTAAAGCCAAACACAATGACCTTCACCAGTGCCAATGCAACGACGAACCAGGGTTTCGAACCTCCTTCAGAGCACCATATACTATCTTTTGTCCATGGAACCCATTGTCCTCAGAAAATGATTACGCTTGCAAGAGCGGCAGAGAAAAAAACACAGATGCATGAGGGAGTACCTGGGAGACTGCAAGTTAAGGAAGACATCCAGCTTCCAAGACACGGTGCAAAATATAAGATAAGGTCAACAGCTGTGACGAGCCTCTTTCTGGCTTTCACACGCGCAGCAATATGACAACATTCGTTCAGCAAATCTACACTTCCCAGCAAATCTACACTTCTTCCAAATGACTACGGAGCAGTAATGGCCTCACACCAGCCTGCCTAGTGAAGTGTCTGCTGACGTGCACTCTAAAAGAAGCACAAAAACTCATAATATCCAGGCCTCGGTCCACGACGAAGAAGGAAGCAGATCATACTTATGTTACTGCTGTGTCAACCAAACAAGAGACAAGAAATGTCTTACCTGTGCTCTGAGGTTGAACGCGGCAGGCAACTACTGACAGGCGACTCTGCGAAGTAACAGGAGTAATGTTAGGATGGCAATCCGACAGGCTAATATAAGCAAACCGCTTGCTGAGGCGAATGCTCAGTTGGTGCTCTCTACTACATACTTCTTGAGAGCCATGTGACAAACTAGCACATGCCTGTAGTCCAAGGACCCTGTCACAAACCTCCGTCAGAATGTCGTCTCCCATTACGAAGGTTAGCTTCAGAACTACTCATTCCTTGCAGGACTCAGCAATGTGAAGCACATCCGCCTGTGAAGGTGCACAGGCCCCCTCATCCAAATCTGCTTCCCCAATGCACATGTTTACGAAAGTACAATCCGACTGAAGCAGACAATGAAGAAAGTAGCTGAGGCTAGCAAGCAATGCCTTGTTGAAACGGGCATGGTTCAAAGCAGAGCAGAATGTGTCAATTGGAAGTATGCCGAGCCATGACTCACCCATATGACATGAAGTAAACCTCCCTTTGGAGCCATCTCCTTTGCAGACCACGTACCAACCTGCACTTCCACATGGAGTGCAATGTGTTCAACAATCTCGGACTATCTAACCGTGGACTTAGCTTGCACTTTGCCAGAATGTACCCAAACCTCTCAGAACAAAGCATCCGCCAGCATCAGAGAAGAGTGTCCCCCGTGTTGAACAGCCTGATGCTGACATCTACCGAGCTCGTTGGTCTTCTTCGGACAACCTCATGGAAATGTGAGAGCTAACCCTGCCATCATGGTCGGGCGATAATCGAATACAATCAAATATAATAAAAAATAATAAAATATATAGACAGTCTCTGAAATTTTCAGTTTCCTGAAGGTCTCCTAAGGCGTATTCTTGATACAGTCTGCACCATGCGTATGACCACAGCGAGCATACCAGTGCCTGAAGAAAACTTCAAATCTGAATAGAAGCGGACTGCTTCTTGGAACCAATCTTGCAGGTCTTCAAGAACGATTTGCACAAAAAAGATAGCGTCAGAAAGTACAAGAATCTCCGAGCCAATGACGCCGCTGCCCTGACAGTTACTCTGTACTACTAAGGTAGACAGGACACTGCCAACCTATGCAACAATCTTGAGAACCTCATGCCCTATGCTCTTCCATGACGGCATGATGCATCTGTCTGCGTGGAGCGACCCAAAAAAATGTTTGCAAGGAAGCGGCTCTGAAGACGCACCAGATGTGTAAAAACCCAACGAACTCCCTATTCCCACGACTACTACATGGTCGAGGAAGACTCTGGCAACTTGAGAGCGGCGGTGAGACAGAGTAGCTGCCGAAGTTTTGTCTGCATGACTGCACCGACCCTGACAAGAATGGACATCCAGGAGCAGGGCAGGTGTACCAGGGCAGTCTCCTAAGGTCACAACCACAAAACGCCCCGGAAGTTGAACTTTCAAACCAGCATGCCTTTCAAGTAGTCACTACGAAAAAAAATCTTATACTCGCGGCTAGCTCCTCCCCATGCACGCCGACAATCTAATCACGCTCAAAAACCATAAAATATACTTCGACCACGCTTGAGAAACGTTGTACAACCTAGACCAAGAAACCCCGTGAAAACCTCACAGACCACAACTCACCAGCCGTTCCAAGTCACGCAGCAGGCGGTACAGGGCCTTGTAAGATTGCATGCCAGGCCGCCACTCCTCTAGCTTGACCCGATCTGACCAAGGCTGACACATCTGCTTCCACACAACCTCAGAGCCAGCCGCTACCCTCATCTGATCACAGGTCCGAGACACGACCGCCAACCCCTTGGCATCCAAAAACGTGAGGAGGTGCGTGAGCGTGTCTCCCGGCAACTCTAGCAGATCCATGCTGGCAAACCAAAACCCCAATAGTCGAGCCAAAAGTCTGGCCAAAAGGGGTCAGTCGTTGCTGCTCGCCGTCTGCATGTAAGGGAGGGCAGTTGAGGAGCCACTAGTGACCAAGTCGCGTTCCTGCTCCCTGTAAAGCTTCTTCAGGGAAGATGATCACCCGCAATCTACAAGGAGCCAGCCTGGATCGCTTTCCTGGGTGGGTTTCCGCCCTGAATGATTTGGCACATAACAGGAGCTGTTGCAAAATTGCTCGAGCCACCCGTTCGCGGAAGACAGCTCACATATACCGGTAACGTGTTCTAAGCCCGCCAATTTCGGACAACCGTATTCGTGTTAATGGGCCGGCTTTAATGTCGTACCGGTACCATCATTTACGCCAACAACCAATGGTCAGACCCTTTAACAAGTGGTTTACAGGGTGCTTGGGTCTGGTACTAACCACAATCAAACAGTCGCAGCTGCCAGTTCACACGATCTTATGAAGGTCCACGCGCATTATTGGTCACGTTTGCAAACGTCATAATTTTAAAAACGAAATCTAAGGACAACAAATCGAACGTCCTAGATTTGACGAAAGTATTATCTGAGTTATCGGAGCGCTCAAGATCTTTGTTGGAATCGTGGACGTGTACCAGCCTTCTCTTGCTGTGACGTCGTCGGCTCAAAGCTTACGCAATAATACCAACTTGTGGGTTCCACATCCACGTGCCACTTGCTGGATTTTCGTAACCGATCAAGGTAGGTAACACCTGCGGTCACGGTACTTGTGCGCCAAATATCGGAAAACATTGGATCCAGATTCCAGAGTCCAGATCCCGTCGCAAGTAAAGCGAAGCAAGTTTCGGTGTCCATTACTTCTACCCGGTGTATTTTAGGGTTATACTTCAAATGTCCGCTTCAGCTGCTTGGCACTTGGCCCGTACAAACAAAGGTACCGTACGGTACTCGAGTGCAAAACCTTGTTATTGGCATACTGTAACACTTCGATTATAAGATACCCCGGCCATGCATCTTGACACACCTCTAAGTTAGACAAACCTTATGCAGGATTCCGAGTAAAATGCCCGTGCACTTTCAAGCAGCATCGCATCAAAATTTCAGCATCCGGATTCCGCATTTGTGGATTCTGGATCCGACCTGTACCGTACGGCGGCTGCGGCGGGTGGAATCCTGGAAGCATGAGCATCATTGATCGCGGATCGGATGTGGTCCGCTGTGCGCAACCTACCGTACGGTAATTGCGGGCGCCGTGGCCCCGGCGTGGGAAGCAATTTCCGAACGGACACTGAGGCTTGACACGGAAGCCCTTTTCATCGACGGCTTCCGCCTACAGATCAAGATTTTGGGTCGCCTTTAAACCGTAGATCTAAAGATATTTTGGACATTTGTGGATGACACCGTATTAGACTTTAGTTTTAACTTTTGTCCCCCGATCTACCTACTTGACTTTGGTTGACCATGTTTTCCACGAGCTTCCCAAAGTAGGTGCGCGCGCGCACATATGAGCTTTGGAGGGGGTCTTCGCATCTGAATCTTCGATCATAATGACGTCGTTCGCATTCCGACTTCTGCTTTTTGCACTGGCATGTCATGGCATGTGGACGGGCTTCTCAAAAGCCAAAACTACCTTAGAGCTCTAGCCGGCCACCACGAACCACTAGCTACCGCGCGCGATCGGATTTGCTATGACATGCAGGTCAGAATGGGGATTGGTACTTGCTTTTCTCGCACGAGCAGCGCGACAGAGGTGCCTTCATGCCTTCACATTTTGATCGGCTTGGGGGTCGCTCGCTCCATGGGAAAGGTTTTGGAAGTTGGAGAAGGGGGGAGCTTTACGTGATCAACGTACTGATATCTGGCAGTGGAGAGACCTCATCGACCTGGTTTAAACATCTAGTTTCGACACAGGAATGCTCATGATGAAATCAACAACTTCATGCAAGCTGTACGTTGACCCGAAGGTAATTTTGCGTGATGATGGACGTTCCGTGTCGACCTCAAAAAGCTCGAGCTTGACATTCAATTTCCGTCGGGGGCCTCCGCTGGACTATATCTGGATACCATGCAAGCAAATCCTGATATCACGAAGCACAAGCGGCCTACGTTTTTCGCAGAGTCCGACCGACTTTCGATGTGGCCGCAACCTTAAGTTCCGACCGTGACGCCACTTCAATGTTCACGTGTCTACAAACTACAAATCAGGGGAACACTTATTTGTAAGTTCGTGATTGAAGAGGCCGCCGAAGAAACATACTCGCGATTGTCAGTGTGCCGCAGATTGTCAGTGACGATCCGACAAATGACAAGTTGCTTCTGCGAATGTTTAGACAATCCGTTCCTGGTCGCAACTTTTCAACTACAAGATATTTGAAAATATCAGTGAAGAGTCGATTTGACAGGCCGTGCGAGGTAAAGAGAACCCACTAAGCAGCTGTAGCGGTCGCTAATACCTAGACAACAGGCCCGTTAATGGAGTCCAAGGAAGATCCCACGAGAAATTGCGCGTTTGATCTTCTTATCTTTTTACAGTGCCCAATTTGTCAGGGCATCATCTCGGACAAGCGAAACGAAGTTGCCAAGCAAGCTGCCAGTCCTGAGACTAATCTGACAACACGTCTAGACTAACGAAGTCCTATGCATAAATAAGCTCCAGCTGGTAGAGCAAGCAATAAATACGACAATCTAGCCACGTCTAGCAGCTTATCCCGTCGCAGTAAGTGGGCAGCGGGCGCGTCTGCGCGCCGCATAGGTTCTGCTCGACGTCATACGAGATGGCGAAAAGGTCGCCCTCCTTATACGGGTAAGAATGAAACGTGAGCCCCTGGGGAGTCCCGGACGTGGTCGTCTGGAGGGGGCACGGGAGCGAGATACCGGGGAAGCTGGAGAGAGGAAAGAGCGAAACGTATCACAATCAACATTCTGTTAAGAGTAATAAGAAGGTCCTCATGTGCTGTTTAAAGCGGGACGCATGGCGTCGCCGGCTTAGCACTGTTACTTGTCTACGTCTAGTCGACGGTGTGAGGTCGTCCGATCTAGTTAAAGATGACTCTTTCGAGAGCTGGGCTAGGCGTGTGACGTTTTGTCTCGGCGTGCGAATCCATCGACTTGAGTCAATATGTACTACAGCAACTAAGGCTCTGGTGCCAACAAATGTTGGCGCAAATGTGGTTTCGTTTGCAATTGAAGCATGACGTTTGACACTCCGGCAGCCAGCCAATCGTGAAGGTCCAAGTGCACCAGAAACTTATTGTGATTCGGTTTCTTGATTTTATCAGCTCAGTCGAGAAACGGATCCTTAAAAAGTACAGCCGGTAAGGTACTTCTATTTGCGACGAGAATTGAAAAGCTCAAGCTTTACTGAATTACTTTCACAAAAGTTGGGGTCAAGATCGCGAAAAAGGTAGGGACCAATTGAGCATCTGTTTCGCTCGAGAAGGCCGGCAAGAGCAGCTCACCCAATACGCGCGAAGGTCCCAATGAGATTGCTCGCGGCCGCGACCGCATCGTAGCCGTTGGATGTGAACCAGTCTGTGATGCTGGCGGCGATCATGGACGAGTTCTGTACGGGAAAGCAACACTTTTTTTCATATCTGATTCTCTGGTCGGAGAAAAAAGCGGGAAAAAGTACAAGATGAAATAGTCGATGGGTCTCTGAAATTTGATACAAACGAGCGGACCAATCAATCTGTCCTCTTCTCAATCTCCAGAAGCAACTTTGTGGTGCGACATCCCTTCAGTGCACCCTTACAGAAAAGATGCCCCAAAGATCCCCCTGCCGGATTACAAGAGAGAGATCGGAGGCAAAAGGGAGCAAACCTAGGAGCAAAAAGACTCGGAAGCTCCGGCGAGAATGTGTATCTGCTCGCCAAGCCGGGGCGAAGCCCCCAGAAAGGGCCCTAGAGCAAGATCAACAAGTTCATCTGGTCTGTATCCTCGCACAGGTGTGCAGAGAAAAGAGGAAAAAGCGGGAAATAGTACAATAGTCGACGGGTCTCTGAAATTTGATACAAACGAGCGGACCAATCGATCTGTCCTCTTTCATTCTCCAGAAGTAACTTCTTGATCCGACATCCCTTCAGTGCACCCTTACAAAAAGATGCCCCAAAGATCCCCCTGCCGAATTGTAAGAGACAGATCGAAGGCAAAAGGGAGCAAACCTAGGAGCAAAAAGACTCGGAAGCTCCGGCGAGAATGTGTATCTGCTCGCCAAGCCGGGGCGAAGCCCCCAGAAAGGGCCCTAAAGCAGATCAACAAGTTCATTTGGTCTGTATCCTCGCACGGGTGTGCAGAGCGAAGAGGCCGCGACTTAGGCTTCCACACATGTTGCAGCGCGGAGTTCCGCTGTCAGGATACGAAAGAAGAAGACGAAGCAACGCTAGCATCCGAAGAATCTGAGGGTTCGCGCCTCGCGGCCGCGTGCGCACCATCTTGGAGGAGACGTAGAAGGGATCCCTCTTGTCGCCCGTCTCCTCTGACGCGACAAAGAGGTCGTCGTAGAATTGGGCAAATGCCGGGTCGCCACGGCAGCACGTGCCGCCCTGAAACTCCAAGTCGAAGTACTGCAGAGTAAGAGAGCTTGGGTGGTCAATCGACTCTGATCCTTTTGACGAACAGTGACGGCACGAGGAGAACGTTGTGAGGATCAAGTGGGGTTCAGGTTACCATGTACTCGACTGGCCGAGCTTTGCGAAAAGTTGAGATTCGGTCGAGTGCAAGCGTTATAAGATTACGACCCAGAATATTTCAAGGTCCAAACCAGGGAGGAAGGTTCTGAGCCAATAGGATACGGCTGTTCCAAGCGACAATAACGTTACAGAAATCGAGTGGGGATCAGAAGTGGTGACGTACTCAAGTGGGTCATAATCTGATGTGGAAAAGGTGAAGCTCGGTCGAGTTCCAACGTCAAGCGATCATGATCCAGAGTTTGTGAGGTCCAAAGGGAGGAAGGTTCTGAGGCAGGAGGACACTACTCTTCCAGATACCTCGATCATAGAACTTTAGGCCATGCTTCTCCCAATCTTCTGCGAAACTGTCACTAAGCGTAACTTAAACCGGTAAGTGAGGCCCACGAGTACAAATAGCACAGCAAGCGGGAAGGCGGTCAGACTCCAGCCACTGGATGGCCTCCAATAAGCGCTTTGGGCGAACATACCTAAGCGGCCGGATCCTCACCTGCTTGTCATAAGCGATGAGGTCCGCGAGGGAGTAGAGGGGCGTGTAACCCTCCTTCCAGGTAAGCTCTGCAGAGACGAGAGAGATCGTATTGGCTGTTTGGGTCTAAAGCCAGCGCAGCTTTGGATCAGGGGACGAAATCAAGATGCGGAGAAGTTACTGAGCGTCAACCACAGAGGTGCATAATTTAACAATTTGCTTGCTGTTCGTTTTTTACACCTCGGCAACAGACCTCTTCTCTTTAATGACATACACGGAAGCCTCCTAAAACAAAAATGGCCGTCTTAGGAGAAGGAAAGCTCCCGCATCAACATTACTTTCTCAACGAGCCGATAGCGACCTTAATTTCCTCCTTGCTGGTACTCTGTCGCCCGATTACAAGATATAGTTCTCTGCCTTCGGCTACACCGTTGACTCCGAGGAAAACTCTGCGGTCTCCGCGTTCAGACGTGGCTGCTACGTCTACTTCAGCGGTACAGAGGAAGGATCTGGACTTACGTGAGAGGTAGATGTTCATGTCGACTTTGAAGTCCTGATAGAAGACCGATCCGTCCAAGTTCAGAAAGTCGAAGGTGTCTGGCAAAACGTCGACGATTGCACCACGGGACCTGCAAGCGCAATGAGATGATCTAGCCCTTTATTCTGGCGATCTCATTCTTAGTAAGTATCTTTGTGAAAAGGCTTTTGAGAAGGCGTAACCCTGAGTGGTAGGTCAGGTGGTAGAGTCCTTGAAAGTGCGAGAGTGAGTGTGATTGTGTCCGTGTGAGACTTGTCGGCTGAACGATGTATCAAGAGGATCCAACATTCACAAAAAGCAAAGGAAGTAACCGACATGCGTCTTTACCAAAAAGCTTTGATCTCGCGCAAAGATCGTCTGAACAAGCTCTTTGGAAAGTGTTAAAAAAGTCGCTGAAGCAAGGAAGACCGTTCAGGGGAGCTCGGCCTTCAATCGAAACCAAGCCAAAGTGAAACCAATTCAAGCAGCATCGTACTCCGCAAGCGAGAGCAAAACAAGTTGAGCCGAAACCGAAAGCGGCTCACAATGAAGCGACTTTCCAGGACGCTTTGCTTTTAAGTTGGAAAGGCAATGACTGACACCACCGGTAGAGTGTCCCGGGGAACACAGATTTCGAGCTCTTGAAAAACGATAGCTGCGCGCTTTGATGTTTGGCAGATAGGTCAAAGGCGAGTCGGGTACGATCCGGCTCAGCTTTTGTCAAGCGTCACTTGACTGCTTATCTGGTCCACTTGCGAAGGAGATCACAACCCTGTTTTCGTCTTGGGACTGGTATCCGCTGAACGTAGTCCATCAGATTGATGTCAAACATGACTGCAAGCTTCCCCGACCTTCTAACCCCATACTCGGCCGCCTCCAAATCTCGCTGAATTACCTGAGCATGTCCGGTAGTTTCGCGTAATTGTCAACAACCGGACCGTTGATTGGGATTAAGGGGTACACGTCGCTGCCGTCCGGGTTGGGCGAGCGGAAGACGGCGATCTTCTTGCCTGGGCGGAACGGAATGCGAACGGTCAACTTGTGAGGACGCTTCTAGACGTGCGCCAACGGAAGCCCTGGAGAATTCCGCTTGCTGCTGATAGCTCTGCATTCGCCCGCTACATAACTTCGCGTCATGAGGCGGCGTGTTCGACACAAGCAAGATAGATATGTGCCAAAAATTTGAACTTTGGACTTACGTCAAGAAACAAAGGCACGACCCAATCGTTCTTGTCCGACTTTTCTGAGATAAGGTGACGAGAAAGTTGGATTTGATTCTTACAGACAATCAGTCGGGCCTATGAGAAAATCGCCAGACGTCATGGCTAATCTGCAAACGCTATGAGCACTAGCATCCAAGCGCAGGACCCTCGTCTGCCTCTGCTCGATCCGACTCATTTCCGGTGACTTTACCGTCTGCTTCCGTCACTTTCTTCTCCAGAAAAAGCGCGGTAAAATCGATCCCAATCCAACGCAAACCGAATCGGTCGCAAAACCCGAGGCCGCTTGCAGTCTCCAAAGGCGGCCGCGGCCGCGGCGAATTGCGGCCGCGAAGCCGAACGGCGCCTACCTGCGAGACCGTTGGGATCGAGGAACGGCAGATAGCCCCCCTCCGGGCGGGTATATTGGGGCAGCCAAGGGGTGGATCCGGAATGGACCGGGTCAGCCAAGTCGTCATAAGCCATGGCGTCGAACATGTATAAGCAGTCGGCGACCGTGCGGCAGATGGGGCTGCGAAGAAAGATACAAACAATTAGTCGTACCGTATGATCGTTGAATTTCTGACCGAAGTTGGCCCAGTCAATAAACAAGGCTATGTACTAGAGGTCGGAATCCAGCCTGAAACAGACCGTTTGTTTTCTGAGTTTGAGGGCAGTCGACACGTGGCGGCATGCGAACAGAGTAGGGTATCAGGACTGCAAGCTAGTCAGCACAATCAGGGCTCGCGTTAGCCGACGAAAATGGTTAAAGGTGGAAGCTGAAAGCGGAGCCTATCTTGGATCTGTCAGCCTAGCAAAGGGCTCAACTCAGCGAGTCAGTCATAGAGAACAGCGACGTGGTTTTCAGCACGGAAGAGGAACGAGAAAAGCAATTGGTCCAGTCTCTCACCGAAGAAGTCACAAAGAGTTTTGAAACCGCGTATCTTACCCTGCCGTGTCTTGGGTACTTGAAATCGGCACAATTCCGTTCCGGCTCATGACTCCGTTGGTCGGCCGAAAGCCCACCACGCCGTTCACGCCCGCTGGCGACAGAACGGAACCGCCGGTCTCGCTGCCGACCGTCACCGCAATCTGCAGCGAGTGACCAGGTTTTGTTTTAGAACTTAAAAGTAAGCGTCTTCGGAAGCGTCTGAGTAACGTCAGAGAGCGACCAAGACGACCAGGATACTGCTTGCGTTTCGCCTGGGATCATGCTGTCACGTTCCTGTCGAAGCGACAATCAAGCGCGGAAACTTGCTCATCGATCGTCGCTGCGTGCTGAGTTAGCAGCTATGCTCCTTTCAAGGTTGGCGTCAGAAACAAGGGGCCGCAAGCCACCCCCAAATCGCCCACTTTTTCTGGTTTCAAGCAAAATTACGACCTCATATTGACACTAAGACAAAGGGCAAGTGCGCCCCCCGCTCTTCATTTCTTGAATTAAAACGTGTTTGGCCAGAAAGACCCTTGATACTGATGTGTTCAAAGGGCCTAGCTCGCCAACCATGATAGACGCCGTATTAATGTATACAAAGACGCTGATCAAAGCATTTCTGGAGCCTTGCTTTAGCAGCTAAGACGAGCTGGGGTGGCAGAAACCCGAAGCATTGGAAGAGGGTAGATTCAGTCCGGTCTTGAAGCTGCCAGCGCTCGATCGCGCTCGAAGCGCGCCCAAGTAGCGCACTGACCCTGCAAAAGAAGCTCAACCAGACAGCAACCAAACGGTAGTTGCTTCATCGGGTTGATACTTCAAAGAACCGAGCCAAGATGGCAGCTCCGCTTACGATATTCGTAGCCGCCCCAACAGCGGAAGCCCCGGAGCTCCCCGAGATGATTCCGGGGCTGTAAGTGTTGGTGAACGTTTGGTTGACCGGAACGGCGGACGGTATCTCCGGGTAGTACGGCAGGTCGAACGTGCTGACGTTGATTGGCTGGTACCGCACGTAAGGGCTCTGTACCATCAGAAGTGTTTAGAAAGTTAGCAACTTAGAAACTTGTAAAGTCAGACGTTAGAACCGGGTGCATGAAGTGCTGGTTAAAAGCGGTTGCTTTGAGGGTTTCTTTCCAATGGAAATTGCATAGAGAGGTTTGAGATCAAGGAAGAAGCCTGAGTAACCTTTGCTGATTACAATGGAAGCGAAGGGTTTGGAGCTTTCAAGTCAGAATTAGTTAACGAGGGACGATTTAAATAAAAACGGCACTTGTTCGAGCATCATTATTTGGGCTCCTCTTCTACCAAAACTCAAAAGGAACGGAGAGCTTAGTGGCGCATATTTGTCCAACACACTTTTCGTTTCCAGATTAGAGTTGTCCTTTTTGTACGAGTATTCTTTCTTACAACCTTCTATTCCGCCGCGCCCGTTCCAGACCGAGATGCCGCCGGAAGTCTCGGAGAACGCCCGTTCCTTGAGACCAAAGTATTAATCAACTTTGTTTCTCGACATTAGTGGTTCAAAAATAAGCTTGTTACAGACTCATCGCTTGTTTGTTACTCACATAGGTTTGTCCGCCGCGCCCGCTCCAGCCGGCGATGCCGCCGGGGTCTCAAAGAAGGCCCATTCTTCATGTCCCAAAGTAACTTTTCCAACTGAGATAGAGAGCAGTCCTAACCCACTACAGATCTTCACAACATGAACGCTTTTACTTACAATCTTTGTCCGCCGCGCCCGTTGAGCCGGAGATGCCGCCGAAGATCGTGAAACGGCCTACTCTTCGTGAACCAAAATACCATCTTCAATAGCTATACTTTGCGTTCTTAAGCAGAGGTCTCAGTCTGAACAGAAATAAGTATCCACTCACAAAGGTCCTCTGCTTCGCCCGTTCCAGCCGGAGTTGCCGCCGGAGCTATTGAAGAGAGCCCACTTTCCTTGGACCAAAGTACCGTCTTCATTTGAGATAGTTTGCGTCTTCGAATAAAGAATGTCGCAATCTAAACACACATCCTCTACTCACATAGGTTTGTCCGCCCCTCCCGTTCCAGCCAGATATGCCGCCGGAGCTCTTGAAGAAGGCCCACTCGCTGAGGCCCATCTTGGCCATCATGATGCCGCCCGCGTCGCGCAGCTTGGTCACGATGAAGGCTTCTTTGTGAATCGATCCCAGTAGATTCCATGAACCTGCGCAAAGCATCATGAAGGTTCAGTAAACAGGGTTTTTGAAACATGTGTCTTCAATCATTGGGCCACTTCTAAATCGGCCGCCACACGATGAAGGCTTCTTTGTGGATCGAGCCCAGCAGGTTCCACGAACCTGCGCAAAAATCGGAATCATGAGATCTTCGCCTACAGGGTTTCTGGAATTTGTGTCTTCTCACTGGGTGGCGTTCGGCCGCGACACGATGAAGGCTTCTTTGTGAATCGATCCCAGCAGATTCCACGAGCCTGCAAAAGGCTTGCAAACGTAATGAAAACATATCTTGCAGGGCGGCATGCGACGTCCATTCGACGGACCCCCAGAAGTTTCTGTGCCCCAATACGAGAACCTTCGACGGATGTGCAGAAAGCAAAAGGCTGACGTACCAACCGCTGAAACGTCAGGCCTTCCAGGATTTTGGTGCCCTGTGGCAGTGACTCACGGGACTGACAGTTTGATGTGTTGGAGCATATGGGCTCCCGGGAGAGATGTCTCGAGGAACGTGCAAAAGAAGTTGAAGGTCCTCATTGCGGAGGATCTTTGTGCAAAAAGGACGCCTTTACTTTCGAGCGGAACGCGTTGGAAGAAGCGTGTCTTCCTTATTTTCGACGCTGGCCGGGCCCGACCTCGAGCAGGGTTCTTAAACAACTCCATTTTGTTATCGCGCACAACTCATGCGAATTTTAAGTTGATGCCGCACGTGAACCTGAACGTCTCTGCAACTTGCAAGCTCGTGAAACGTAAATCGCTGCGAAACTCAATGAAGTATGACCGCCGAACAGAAGACTTAAAAACTGCCGAGCTTCTCACCTGCAGTGCAGTTGAGCCCATCCGAAGCGATGTTGTCCTTCAGTCCAATCGGGATTCCGTGCAGTTTGCTGAAGCTGCAGTTTGGCATACACGCCGCGCGTTCCTTGTCTTTCTCCTCCGCCAAGGCGATCACGTTGGGGTCGATCTCAAGAACGGCGTTTGTCGCGTATGCAACCTGAATTGAACGAGCGGGAAGAGCGTTAGGGCATGCTACAGGGACTGCGTTGTGAAGAACGTAGAAAGCTTTGCGTTAGGCAATCGAGTGGCTTGCTGGCTTGCAGTCGGGGTTGAAGTTGAACCCTTCAGAGGTTGTTGTTCGTCTTCGGCCTGGATCAAAACGGGGCCGATCTCAAGAACAGCAATGGTTGCGAGTACAACCTGACGTGGCAAAAGCTTAGAGATGTATTAGGGTTGGTGTCACGGCCTGAACTGTTTCGTGTCAAAGACTGACTTCCTGCATCATCTTTAGAAGTTGTCTGTCGAGTCTCTTCCGCCAGAGTCGAGTCTTACGATTGATGCTGCACTGAGTTGCGTTCACGACATGAAAGGTTTTGGAAATCGAGCTTGAAAGACAGCCCCGGGACTTGTAGCTTTCCTTGTTTGGAACGAAAGTCAGGCTTTAGATGAAGAACAAAAGCTGTCAAGAACGGCGTTGGGTGCATATGATGGCCCTGAGTTTCTGCAGCTTCCTCCAGAAAAAATAGTCAGATCGGGAAAGAAATTTCCGGCCTCTCGACCTGATTCTAATGCTGTTCCGCCTACTTACTGTCCACCTATCTTAGCCTTGCCCTTGAAGGTGCTACGCAAGCCGGGACCCGCGATCTCCTGCAATATGCACCCCGCGAGCAGAACCTTCATAGCATCGAAGAGGCCTTGTGACGGACACGAGAGATTTTAGGTTCCAATCATACGAATTTTGCTCTTGCGGATGCTTACGATCAATTTGGAAAGGTGAGTAAAGTCAAATAAGTGGAAATCTTTACCTGGCCCTTGAACGTACTGATGCTGTCCAGGTCTGCAATCCTCTGCAGGTAGCACTCAACCAGGGCACGTGACGTCAGCGTCCCCGCAGCAAAAGCGTCCTGGATCTCGTCGATTGTGATCTCGATGACGTCATCGCAGTTGAAGTTGGAGGGCTGACTTGGAAAGGAGCCGTCGGGGGACTGCTTATAGCAGGTGTAGCCAGTGCCGGGAAAGCAGCTGCGCAAAAATGGAGAAAAGGACCGAGGTCAATCAGGATAAGGCAACAAATAGAACAACAATCACATACAGACAAACAAAACGAGACAACTGGAATTTTTAACTTCGTGTTTTGAAAGTGAAGGCAAGCTGACGTGAAGGATTCAAATGCTGGCAGAGGAAGGAGCTACTGAGGGAATGCTTCTGACGGCTGTTCCTATCATGAATGCAGTGGCATGGACAACTAAAAGCTTGTCGTTCAGATTCAACCTTTAGTCGGAGTAAAAGAGATTCACGTGTCGTCTTTGGCATAATGCGTCTTTGGCATAATGCGTCTTTGGCATGCTGAGAATGACGGACAGAGCTTCCTCAAACAAGGCTGACTTGTGTTCAGAGGTTCAAAAAGGTCCTGACTTCCGGTACTTGTGAAAGAAGGCCTATTGTGTGCATACGGCATACCTCAAGCTATTCCAGACTAAGACAGCGAAAGGACAGGACCTACCTGTATCCAGAAGGGCAGCAATAGGTTGTCGCTGTCCCAGGAACCGTGCAAATAGTTGGATACATACCCGAGTTACAGAAACCAGATGCTGGAGCCGCGATGCCGATGGGCGCGGTTCCTGAAACGACAGCCACCAAAGGGAGACCCTTTCAGCTCGGAAGATACAATATTAGAGTCGCTTTCTTAAGAGTAAAACTCGTTGATACTGTTCTGAGAGCAGGATCCATGTCCCCTTGCGTAAAGCAGTCGAAAAACCCGAATTTCTTGCGCGAGGGATGTAGAGACCGTGTCAAGACCGGAACATTCAAGGGACACATGTTCTGACAAAAAGAGAGACTTTTTGGTATTCCATTTAACCAGCTGAACCATGCCCTAATGATTGCAGAGACCCGGGCAGGAGTCAGTAATGATAAGAGGGCTTGTCATGGACAAAACAGTGACGGCATTCCAGGCAGTCAGACAAGATCTCTGAGACATCTTTACACGTCATCAAGAAAGTTCTAGTATCTACCGCGGTGCTTGCTTGACTTGCAAGACAGCAGCTTTGACGTGTTGCTCAAAGTACAGAGCGTAGACTGTACGGAACTTGTCAAAGCAAACAAAGCTGCGCAGCATACCGTCCATTGTGGTCGCTTGCAACAAAGCCCTTCGTGTGTTCTGCTCTTCAGCCCTGTGCTCAAGTCTCTTCTCCAGGGGGAGAGCGACCGCCGTTGTCGCAAGCACCAGCACCAGAACTGCAGAGTCGATGAGATTTGCTTGACGCAAGCACTTGTTGATATGAAAATGAGATGGTCCATCCAAAAGTTGCAATGGATGTTCACTTAATCGTTACTTCATGTAGTCTTCTTGCTCACTCTCGAAGCAGGAGCTTAGGCCCGCCTCAACCAAACACAATTATGCTTTCGAACCTGCGAATTACTTTCTTTATTGAGTTCGTATGGATCAGAAAGACACACTCGCAGACACACTCGCAGAAGGTAGCGAAGGTGGAGCCATTGGATGAGTCTAAGGAGCGGCCAAGTCCCTGGAGATAGCAAGCATGGGCTGAGGAATTAGAGATGCGCAGGGCTGAAGCTGGTTTGTTGGTTTGAGCATTGAACTTAAGTAATTTGGGCCTACAGAGACATACAAGATGGGCACACGAGCTAGGTGGTAGATTTATCAATGGTTGGATCATTCTAAAACGGATGGATAACCGGAGGCATGTTGAGAAGAGAGTATTGGTGAGGAAATGTAAGGTTATGGAACAATGCACATATGTATTTCAAAAGGTTGGAGATCTGGGTCGCATTGACGATAGAAAAGCAGTAGCTTTCAACATCAAGTTGAGTTGCAAGCTGGCTACTTATCCAATGCTGAGCTGCAAAGAGTAGCAAGGATTGCAATGCTGTCAATGTTGCTGTGCTTTAAGTACAATCAAGCTGGGCATTGCTGCAGCTTCATGCAGATGAGGTTCATGAGTGGCCCTTAGCAGAAGAAATCCGTGAGTCCTGTCTTTCTCTAGCATCACAAAGATGTCAAGGTGGTGAATCACACAAAAAGCTAGCGAACTAAAGCCAGCAATCAGAATCCTAATGATGAAGAGAACAGAAGATCGAGATGCGGACAAAACTCACAGATGCATTTGGTGGCAGTCTGCCAGCTCTTCAGCACCCCAGAGCCGGTCCCAAACGAAGCCGCCATGACAACAGATACGCCACCGCTTTCGAGATATTTGGCCTGTGCTCGCAGCTAAGACAGTTGCAAAAGGGTTCCCGTGGAGATAAGGAAAATAGGTGCAGGTTACATTGGCATTGCGAGCTGGAAGCGTACTCAATGTAGATCACTGCATTTGAAGCTGTTTACCTAGTAGCGAAATGCACCATACGGTATTATACGGCAGCTCTCCATTGGCACTCTCTCTTGCATGGGTGCAGCTATAGGACATGGAAGTTGGAATGAGTCGAATGACCCTTCCACCGCTGACAGCCTGCAATGTGTTGCTGCCACGCCTTGCTGGCATTCTTCAGACCATTTCTTACAGGACGTAAAACCATCAGAATCCAGATGATCCTGATGTACAGCAGTACACAGTCTGCATGAGCTGGCGCCATAACCTGACATGCTGCAGCCTGCGAGGCGGCCATTTACCAGCTGCAAATGCAAATTGCAATCCTGTCCGCTCAGGGCTGAATCCTGCTCCCGACGCCGCGTCTCCATTGAAGGCTGTCTGCGGCGCCATGATGATGATGAGAGCATTGAATGATCAAGCTTCAACAGTTCTACCTAAACTTGCAGTGCCACGTGTTTACCAGACAACCCAACACCACGGGCAGATTCCACATCGGACGGTTCCGAATGCATACTATCACCAAATCAATTGAATGACGCCAGCACATTCTTCTCTGATTCATTGGCTATTATATTCACTCCTTTCCACGTGTTCGGCGTGGTTTGCCGGCCGGCCAACACTGTGAAGTTTGAACCGTCCTCGAAGCGGTCGCAAGTCCGGTCACTCTGGTCAGTCGATCAACAGTCACTTCATCACTTCGGTCTGCAGGATGACAGGATGGTATGAACGCGGACAAAGCCAGCAAAAAGAGCAACAAAGGAGCCGTGGCAATGTGCACAACCATGGCCCCAATCAACGGAACCCGCCGGGCGCGACTTCCGATCAGCCTCTGTATTTATATACGACAGTTATTCATGATCTGTTCATCTATAGTTAAATTGAATATATTTTGGTGCTTCCTTTAGGCAAGCTCGTGAGGCCTTGATACCTTAGCATCAATATTGGGGTCAACTACATGGCCGCGCGCGCGGCGGCGACGTCAACAATATAGCTAAGGCGCTATAGACAGTACGTGAGAATGGCTGATTCGCGCACTAAAGTAACGGTGGCAGAAGTATCGATTTTCTGATCAGGAGGGGACGTGGGGCGCAGCCGAGACAATGGGCTCGCGGGCGCGATCAGCCGGTTATACTCAGATCGGAACAGCTTGAACTTATAGAAGCCGAGCAACGTATTCACTCACTCACGAACTCAGTCACACTCAAGAACATTTGCGCCTACATTGTACACACTGCAAAACTCAGCGTCTTCACAAGTTGGGCTTTGCTTTGCAGAGTGTGGAAAAGATTATGCACCACGACGGTACCCCCCGCACCACCCGGCAGTCCACTGGCCGGGCGCGCAAAACATACTGAACGATCTCGATATACCATGCATGTCTCTGGTAAAATATAGGCCGGCATGCGATGCGTGCATACTAAATAATCTTGCCGAGTCTTCGGTAAAAGAAAGAGGATATTCTGGACGGTGACGCTGACGTATTCAAGTCGGATCCACCGTGCAATACTCAACGACCGTCGAAGGGTTCCCGAGAGCTGCGGCGCTATGAACGGATCCCAGCTGTCCACATATGTAAATGCTGAGCGCTAGATCGGGATTCTGTGTTAGTAAAGCAGTGGCGATAAGGTTCGCTGTTTCGATGATGCAACGAAAATGCTGCTCGTCAGTGATCGACGGCTCTGTCGACTGGCCCGGACTTCGAGGCAGCACTTCTGCTTCACAAAAAATCGGAACAATCCGAGGACTCGGTTGAAGATTGGACTCAGCCGATATACCGTCCCTTGCTGCTATGATGTATCTGTGGCAAAAAGCGAACGGGCTTGGGGAAGGAGTCTCGGTTGAGCTCAGGCGAATTGTTGAGTCGCTCAACAATGAAGGCGGCGCACACGGTACCAATACTTTCAGCTTACTTGAGAACGAATGATACCGCTTCTCTTTGCGCACTTCGCGCAGGAAATTGTTGAAAATATTCGACACAAAAACTGTCGGTAGCTAGGACGGAGTCATGGCCCTGATCCAGTGATCCAAAAGTTATCTATGCTTACTTGCTCTCAGTAGACTTCAAATTCGTAAACGGGTATTTATGAATACTTACAACAAATGCTTTGGGCCTAATCGAGGCCCTTAATGCTGTACAGCTTGATGCGGTGAGCCCAATCAAGCAAACCGCTTCCCACTATTTAATCCACTTCGCTGATTTCGTTTCCCGGGTGCCAGTGCCGCGGTGTTTCGTGTTGTAGGCAGACCCCGGACACCGGTGCCTTGCCCAAACGGCCCCAATCTCACTTTTTTACGCTGCGAGCCACACACTATATATCCTATCACTTACTCCAAAACAAGAGCCGCTCTCATCTTCTTCGCCTTGTTCCAGCACTCCCCCAGAAACCGCCCATAAACATCCAAAACCCCAAACGTCGCCTCCGCGAACTGCGGCTCGAGCCGCGGGTTCGCTTCGACGAACTTGTCGCGCAGCTCCGCGCTCTCGGCCGCGTGCGTGACGTCAAGGACCACGTGGTGGTGCAGAAACGTCAGCTGGGGCAAAAAGGCGTCGCCCAAAAGCGCGCGCACGCGCGCGATCATGGGCGCGCCCAGGACGAGCGACAGCTGCTCGATCGCGCTCTGGATGGCGACCTGGGCGTACGGCTGCTTGGACGCGATGTACCTGTAGAGTGGACGTCCGAAAATGATATCAGACTGACCGGCTCAGGCTTTGTAAAGGTGAATCTGAAGGGAAACGTCTGCGAATGGCAAGGCCCTGGGCGTACGGGTGCTGAGACGCGATGTACCTGCAGAATAAACGTCCGAGTATGCTTTGGAACTTGATGGGCGCGCTTACAATCTATCAATTATATGAAGACGTACTAACGAACATCTCCAAAATGGCAACTTAGGCGCGTGTAACTGCTTAAATCCTGATCACCTGGCTAGCAAGCGTCCAAAGAACGAACGGAGAACACGCCCAACTGTGTCGACCATTTAATGGAGTCAGATTGAAGTCGATACCGGAAGCAGCATGACGGGAACTCGTCAGCGTTCACTACTTATCAGTGCAGCCAGACTAATAGAATACCGAGTCTCCGTGGCAGGAGATGGTACGATGGGACGGTCTCGTTTTCAGCACGCAAAACGAGTCTTTGTTTTTCCGCTTGGCACCTTCTGAGGGCAACACCAGTGCCAGTGCTCCAAAGACCGCTCTGGCCGTGAGACGTTTTGTAACGTGGGCTCTGCTCAAAGTGGCAATCTAGCGCAGAGCGGCGATCTTGACACTCAGGGCTCTTCCTCACGGCGCGTCTTTCCTCCTACCCAAAACCTTCCAATCTCGTGCGCAAGTCTTCCTATGCAAACAGAATAAGCAGTTCCTAGAGGAATGGGCAGTCTCCGTCCCGTAGCTCACCTGTCATGCAGCTCGTCATAGTCGTGCACGCTCTGGAAGTACGGTGACGTCAGGAGCGCGTCAGCGGACATGGGGCTGCCGGGGTGCTTCGCGTTCCAGGAGGCTGACAGCTTCGTGACGTCATTCCGGAACCACCGGTCGTGGCCGGCTTCTTCGAGAGCACCCTCAACCAGGCTGCGGGTGCGAAACGAAGATATACTATTGACAGATTTTATCGAGATAGCAAAAATGCGAAATACATGTTTACGTTCCGAGTGGTCATTGATCGGCCAGCTTGGCGGGTGGGAATTGGGTCGAGGCAGTAAAGAAGTAGCGAAACGGAGATGCGTTGAACGATGCAAAGTCAGGCTGGGGCGGAGTGAATGCCAATCTTACTTTAACGCCTCAAAATACATTCAAGGTAACAGGTTCTGGAAACAAGTCGTCAGGAAAACAGACTTCAAGATGACCATGCGGTGAGCTTGATGATAACCGAATGGAAAGGATTATGGAAATAATCGCTATAAAGTATATGCGATGATACTCGGGAGCCTATCTAGAAATTGGCAAACAAAGGCGACCTGTATGACAGGGATCAGTAGAGGAAAGGTAGACTCCGGTTTGCCGTCTAGAACCTCACTCTGGTCGTTGTGGGCAAGCGGAAAAACTTCGTCAAGGATCCATGAAAGGGCAGAGACCTTGTAATTCGCGGTTGAGGTGTAAGCCAGAGCTTGACAAAATTCTGACGGCTGTCAGATTGCAGTCGCTTGCGCCAGCTTAAGTGCCAAGGGTGCCAATATTATCGGAAAGAAGTCATAGGACTTTTGGGCCCCTTAACCAAGGACGGTTTTGGGCAGGTTAAAATTCTGGTTATCTGTCCAGTAACCAGACTTGGACGTTAAACAGCTTTGGAGCAAGGTTGAAACCCGGTTAAGCTGTCCAATAACTCAAGCCTCAAGTTGGTTACCAATCTGGTTAGCAGCCAAAACTTCCTGTGAGTGAAGCCACCTTCTCCTATGTCCTCAGGTTCATCAAATTTGGGCAGAGTGAGAAGACGACGGCTTACCTGTTTCCCAGTTCCTGCAGCATCTCGACGTCACTGCCTGCGTTAGCAAGCGCCAGGCACTCCTGCCCCGCTCGCCGAATCCACATCTCGACCTGCGCAGAAACCACCTCTGGATTCCAGCCCAGGCCAAAGTCGAAAAGACTTGGCAGATCCGGCCCTAGGCTGTGTACGTGTAAGCTCACTCACAAGTCATGAGCCTTTCAAAAGCTCGTGTAATCATTGAAGTCTGTCTGATTCTGAGAGCGAAGCAGACCACAACAGGGATCCCTCCCTACCTGCTGCACTGGCAGCCCTTAATGGATACAAAGACAGGTCATGATTTGCCTCCCTCCCCATCTCATCTGCTGTAGGAGCAGTCTTTTGGCTGGTCACTTCAGGTTCCTGCTGGATAGTCTGGAAGTCAGAAAGAAGGTCGAAGGGACGAATGAGTATGCCAAAATATTGTGTGGCTCACCTTTTCAGTCATGCCAACTCCTTGGGAGCAGAACACAAGGAAGAACAAGTGCAGTAAGTCGGTGTCATCGCACGCCGCCAGCTCCTGAAGCTCCGGAACCGCCGCCAGGGCCTGGGGCGCGGCCCTGTAGTCCTGTTGGGATGCTGACGTCAGCGCGGCGGCGACGTCTGTGGTTAGGGCAGCGGTGGCCACATTGCGCTGCAAAATATTGTGGATGGGCGTAAACGGAGGAAGAAATGTTCTCAAAATGCGTTTGTGGAGTCAGCGTCAGTTGAGTGTGGATCTTTGCAGAAAGTGCGCACAGAGAAAATGTGATGCTTTTGGCCCTCTTGATTGCGAGAACAAGCTAGCTGGAATTGCTTTGCTGTAAGGCAGCTGGCGGCAGCAGCCTAGCAATCAGTCCGGAACTTTGATATTGTCAGCTGCTACTATGGCATCGATTCTGAAATCTGACTCACTGCTAGGCGCATCAGCCCCTACAGAATCATGCTTCAGGTCCAGATTGGAACATGTTTACGAAACCTGCTTCCAGACACCAAACCACTGAAAATCTCATTGACAAAAAACTCCTGACTGCCCAGAAATTACCCACAGCTTTCTGAAACTACTCAACCAGATCTGACTCTCAACAAAGTTGAGAAGCCTCAACCCACCCATGAGCTCGCACACCCTCTTGGAATACAAGCTTTGGGTTCATGGATAATTCAGCATAATAGAATTCTGTGGCTACCAAAATAACCTTTTCATTGGTGGGCAATCAGCTGGGGCCTCAAATCACATTTCGTGCGACAGTCTGATGCAGGCATCGGGGGGAGCAAGCAAAGAATGTCAAGCTTACCATATGGCACCCATTTATTGGAGTCTTATCCAAATCAACAACAGGATTCAGAAGCTTGGTTGTCAAACAGGTTCGACTTACCTCTGGCCTCCTTCCGTAGAATGTTGCTGCAGGCCATTGACGAGACTTTTCTGACGGGCCTAGCTGTCTTCCGCAAGATCTGAGAAAGGAAGGAAGCAATGCTGGGCGTGCTGACACCGCTCTGACGACACCAGTGTGAGACGTTCTCATCTGGGCTTTGACCTGAGTTTCCTCAAGTAGAGGGCCAATCACCCACTGATGGCAATATTGCAATCTGGTCGTGGCCCTTACTGCCGCCATGGTACCCGAATGCAGCTTGGGTCGATTGATGCTGGCGTTGCGCCCTTTTTGCTTGTTCAGTTGACCTCCGGAGCCTCTGTGATTGGTTTCTGAGCTGCTGTGTGAGGAAGAGTGCGGGACGGCGAGGGAAGGGGCTGGGGGATTTCCACTAATCAGCTTGAAAACAATTTGGGCTTGTGACAACGATACGGACTCTTGGGTTGAGAGAAGGGTTTGACTTTGTGACAAGAAGCGCCGGCCAGCACACAGCTTACGTATGCCGATCGATTCCTGAGCTGGCGCTTGTAACTAGCAGGTTGACTGGAGAAGGCACGGGCCGTAACCTTGTAAGCCGGCCAGCTTGGAAGCCTGCTGGGGTCTCACCCTCCGCATGCGAGCTGCCTCATTTCATTAGATAGCTTCATTTGATGGAGTTTGCAGCAATATTGTCTCGAGAGTGACCGCCCTTCAAGGGCCGTCTTGAAGTTGAAAAGCCGCCTCACAGCATGCATTTATTACTCGGCTTTGCTCATCCAGTTGCGCCATGATGTCAGGATGGTGCTTGAGCATCTTAGATTCTCAGAAATGGTTATATATAGGAAACCCGGTTATTAAAGTGTCTGTAAGAAGGGGACTAAGATGACTGACAAAGCCCAAATCCAATTTCTACCTGCTCCGCAGCCTTGCCCAGCCTAAACCCGCTTACTAATTCCACCCGTCCCTGGACGATAATAGCTTACTATAACCTACGATTTTAACTATGGTTGAGCTACGGGGATTTTGGAGTACACCATGCCCATGATGAGATCATCCTCGGATGTACTAAGCCGGAATTCAATGCGAGAGCCGGACAACTCGACGAAAGTTCCGGATGGGATATTGTTTTTCGATGCCGCCACTTTCACATCGTTGCAAAGGCTGCAGTGTCGAGACTACGGAACTGAGCAAGTTTCGATGTCGAACGGTAACACTCAGCACTGGTCGGTCTGCGCGCCTCTATAATGCATCCGCTGCTTACGTATTTATGAACGAGCTCATCATTGTTGTTGTCGCCGCTGAATGATGAGCACACTCCAGAGTGAGTCCAGACAGGTTCTTTGCAGGGCCCAGGCCCCGGCAGGGAAGGTGTGGCTCGTATTACTCCGGGGTCCAAAAATCTTCAGATCTGAGTATATATGCAGCGACTACAACTCACAAGCACACTGGACTACAACTCACAAACAGTTCCAAATTCCAATCTAAGAGTTGCCAGTCCAATATGCATTTTGGACAGTTCTGAGTTTTGAACGATTTGGACAGAGGCCTTTTCTTGTAAGCCTCCGCAATATATCCAAACGAACAGAACATTATAAGTGCATGCATCCTGCTGCGATCATCTTCGCTCCCAGAAAGTTCGTTTTCAAAATAAGTACACCGGCATTCCGAGAACAAATGATTGCAGAGGCATCTTTCAGATCCCGCACCACAGTTTGAAGTCTACGGTACTACTGGAGTCTCAAAGGAGGGCGTGCGCCGATGGCGCCGCCAGCACAATGCCGGGCCAGCTGCAGTGGTTGATCAAAGCGCGTTTGACTTAAGAACCTTTTGACTTATCAATACCAAGTATAAGATGAAAGGGTGTGTGCGATGGGCAGTCAGAAGGCGCTTTCCCACAAAGACACACTTCTCAAGCATAAACTTTGAGTCACTCACCTTCAACGCAAGCTGGCGCTGCGTATTAATCGCAAGGACTGCGGTGGGCCAGCATTATGATCCGTCTTTCAGCTGACCAATTCTCCAGAAAGCAGCTTTCGTTGTGGGGGGGAACAACAATGATGGCTGCCAGCTGCAACCTTCTTGCGGCGAGACCGCTCTCTTTGTGCAGCTGGTTAGATCCAAAGCCTTCAACACGTCTGGTTACCGCAAACCCCATCGATCAGCTCCTGAGCGCAGGGGCCCTTCGCCGTGGCAGGTTAGCAAAACGGGTTTGCACAAATCAGACACGGTCAGCAGGCGGCTTGCACGGCATCAGAGGTTCGTTGGGTGGGCTAACCCTTCCGGCTTTTGACCCAGAAACCCCAGGCCCCCCCCTGCTTGACCACGCCTTAACACCGTCCCTCCAACATCAGCAGTCTCTGGAGATTCTTGAACGGCCGCCCGAGATCTTCATGCCCCTAACTAGAAAGGTTTGCCCCAGCTTTACTTACAGATGGGCTGTGCTCACCGATGCCCCTGGCATTGCAAACCTTTTGAATCGCCCAGAATATTCCAATCAACTGAAGCCCACAAGCGTCTGGGAGATTGAAGCGCGCATTCTGGGGGGGTCACTTTTGGTGGCGGAATGCCCCCACACGGGCCAGGTTTTGGCGACAGCGGGGTGTGACGTGTTTGCTGGGGAGCAGGGGAGGGGGCGAAAGGAGACGCTTTTGAGAGATCAATTCCAGTGCTGGGGGAAGGATGCTTTTCAGAATCTGGAGGAAGCGGGATGGTACCATCCCACAAGCATGTGAGTCCTTGGACAGCTAACAAATCTTGTTCAAAAGATCAGAAGACAAAAGCTTCTGTTCAGAATATCAGAAGACAAAATTCAGCAGTACTTTGCACTGATCCTTCCACAATCTTGATGAGTATGACCTACATTTCAACCAAGCCAAAGATGATTTTGTGGTAGCTTCTAGACACTTTCCGAAGCACCCTGCTGTCAACATGAGGATGAAGCTTTGGCTCTGGTTTGTGTCGATCATCTGCTATGGAGGCAGATCCGAGAAACACAGGTTGATTCAAGGAAATTTGCAGCTGGAAACTTAAGGGGTATGCCTAGGCTTGAGCTAGGTGGAAGTGAGACAGCATACTGGCATTCCAACTACGCCAATGTTGGCCCTATCAAGAGCCATGAAACGTTTTCTTTTGCTAAGTTACAGTGCCTTTCCAGTGAATTACTTCAAGAGGTTAGAGATGGGGGTTAAAATTTAGTTACCCTGGCTTGTCAATGACATCTTGCCTCTTGACTTGGAACGCGCTTTAATAAGATAGAAAAAAAAGCAAGGGGGACATCTTTTGTCCTGGCACAGCTCATCTACACTTTTGAACCTTCCAGGCAAACATCCAAGAAAGGCACATTCGTGCCTGACCAAGGCCCAACTTTCCAAAAACTGCTCGAAACTGTACACACCTCCCAGCTTGGAGATGGGCCGCTCTCGGGTGCATTCACAATGATCTACAATTCCAGGTGAGTCCCCCTGCCTCAGCCTCTCCTTTTATAACATCAAGAGAGGCCATAGTTTCATTCAAATGTCTTTTACAAGGGTCGTGCTGCAAGCCGCCATTTCAACCTTTGTTCCAGCAAGAATGGGAAAGGAGGTTGTCGATCTCTGGCTGAAACTTAGACTTAGTGAAGCTAAGTGGGCAGAAACAGCGGATGGCTCAAAAGGATTTTCAAAGGACAGGGTTGGGCTCTGACGTGAATGCGAAAAAGTAAAAGTCCGGCTGGATATTCACGAGAGTTCCTCGTTGCCACCAGCCGCCTCAGAAGCCTCCCTACTAGATGCACCCTTTACCAGGAGACTCCTTTGACGGTCTGTTTGTGAGGGGAAGAAATTGCAAGAAACTCAAAAAATATAAGCTGCGCAGAAGACGACGGCTTTCGTATTGAGTCTCGCTAGGAAGCCTCTCATAGCAAGTCTGTGATTCTGCATCCCCGAACACTGACCCCCTTCTCTGAGCCCCCAGAGGCTCTCTATAGCTCGCTGAAAGCTGAAGCCTACGTTCTCTTTGGTTTCCCAGCTGTGTTGTACTTCCTCAGTTGGTGGGTACTCCCCAGGCGGCCAGACTGGTGCGTCAGAACCTCAACTTCACAACCGACAAGGTGGGTCGTTCTGACCGCACATGTTTGCTAAGGTCTACTTCAGCAATTAAGGTTTGAATTTGTCAAGTCCGAAAGTCTGGTGTTGAAGGCCTTGAGGAAAACGTTTTAGGCTCTGCTTGGAGATCAAAAGTTGTAGTTGGAAAAGATTTGTGTTCCGATCCGTTGAGTAGAGAAGAGAGAACCACCCAGGCACGTCTGGTTGGTGTCGTTTTGAAATCTACAGAACGCCAAAGCTTGTCCGTCGCAGTCAATGTGCAGATGGGTACTTGTTTTGAAAGCTGTGATTCGGTGTCCTCATATTAGGTTGACCTCTGTGCAATCGTCTCTTTCGGTCTTCTTTCTTCGCCAAACCTGGTCTCTTTGAATAACCACAGGTGATCAGCACCTTGACCAGCGCCAGTGGACCTCATGACGTCACCCATCCATATGACGTCACGTGCACGGCTTCTTCCTACCGTCAGCCGGTGTACTTCGTCATCGTCAGCGCTGCAGCAGAGGCGAACCGGGATAAGCTGTTTCACTTGCACGCATCGGCGATCCCCCCCTTCCTGGACAAAGTGCGGAAAGCTCTGGGCGTGACGACCAATCCGCTCGACTCAGAAGAAGTGTGAGCTTTTAATTCCTACGAACTCCGTTTCTTGGAAATAGGAAAGAGTTGTCCTGCTAGGGCCGAACGCGCTCGACTTAAAAGAGAAAAAAGCTTCAAACTTTTACAAACTTTATGAAGTCCGCTCTCCGACAAATAGAGAAAGAACCTTCCAGCAAGGGAAACCGCTCCAACCAAGCCGACTTAGGCGAAGTGCGTTTTTGAGGTCTTACCCTCCGGTCTGGAGCCTTCAATTCCGCCGTGAATCCGGTCTAATTCCGGTCAGGCTTGCTAGCGTCTGATTCTTTCTTAAAGCAACATCGTGCAGAGCCCAGCAGAGCAGTGTTGATGAACAGCATTCGACACCCCTCTGGCGACCCATCTGCTGTGGTTTGCGCTATCAAAATTCGGTGTGTCAGAGGAGAAGCAAGGACGGGGTTGCAGTCCAAGGATGTTTGTCTTTAATCGGCTGTCACGCCGGAAAGCGCAGGTGTTTGGTGGTTGTACGGAGGTCTTGCTCATGAGCCCCTGAAATTACGCTCTGCCCTATATGCGGCTTAAAGCCGTGTGCGCCAAGCTTTGTCAAACTTCGATGGGCCCTTCTAAGCACACGGGAGAATCACGTACCCGTGAGTAACGCACGAGCGTTCCTTCCGACCAAGCTGGGTGAAGAAGCTCACGCTTGTGGACGGGCTTTTCAAAGCGCAGGTTTTTCTCTCCTTTTCCCTCCGGCTCAAAAATGACGTTCTTCCGTACTCTGGATGGCTGCAGGCTACCCCCCATTCCGTGCGCCATACTGCGGCACACCATGCCCAAGACCGACGTCCCGGCCTTCGCATTCTTCAGCTACGTCGCCCTGGACCCCATCGACCATAAGCGCTTGGTACGTGCGCTCGGGAGCCCCATAAGCTCTCAGCTCGTTTCGGTAGCGCCGTAAGCCATCATCTTCATATATGTCGGGGGGACCGTTTACATTTTGGGGCGCCATAAGCCATCCATTGGCGTAAGGGCCTTATCGCTCTCACCTGGTAATTGGGGTGCCATAAGCGATCACCTTCTATCGCGGGCAGACGCTACAAGCTCGCTAGTACAGTCGCGCAGGCGCAGAAAGCTCCCACTTATGTAGAGGAAGCCGTATATATGCACTTGGAAGCAGACTAATGTTCGACGGGGCTACAACAGGGAGAACGGGCTAAGGAAAATGAATGGCCCTGATCAAATATCCATGTCATTTGAAATAAGGCAGAAGGTATAGGGCCAGTGTATGTGTATGGGAGGGCGGTCGAGTCCTTTAATGAAGTAGAGGGTGCTTTTGCACAGACTTGACTCACTGCTGGCAATCAAAAAGGGGATTAAAATGTCAGTGTGAGCAGTAGACTATGAGAAGGGCTTCGTGAAATATACGGTCCTTGGGTTAGAGTGCCAGCCCGAGCCATAAGTGGCGCAATAGCAGCAGAATAACAAGATAAGACGTAGAACAACGTATGTACAGTGCACCTCAACTTGTCAAGCATCACTCAACTACATATAGATATCCTGTTAATCGAGAATGCAATCCAAATGTGTTTGAGAGCAACGCAATCGCTGATTTTAGACTCAGATGGTAAGAACTCAAGGACCCTACATCGAGAAATCCGCATGGCTGAACCAGAGAACTTGTTTCGCATTCAGGCGCATGATTGAATGAATCTATCTCGCGGCGGCCATTGAATTATTCTGCATTTGCTTTCCATACCGAGGCCCGGCCTGATATTCAGGAATTTATGATAAGCTTGGAAGATTGGTATGTCGAGCCGCGCAAGCTTACTGTCTAGCTGCTGACATCTTGAGACGGTTCACGTGCACCAAGTTGAAAGCGGTAGCTGTGCCTGGATTGGTAACTAGTCAGAGCGTAACTTCAAAACTTCAAAACTTCAAAACTTCAAAACTCGCGTGCTTATGACGGATATGTCATGCATTCAACAGGTTGGCAGAACGCCAACTAACGAAGCTTCTGAGTCATGCGTAATCTTGATTAGTCTCTCTGATTTCGTGGAAGCCAGATCATGTGTGCGTTATGACTTGAATGAACGGTATCCCAGAGTTAAATGCGCGCAAACAGCTACTGACACGCATGACAGGATCCAGAAACATATCGTACGGCTCTACTGGCAAGGTGAACCTCTTTGATTGATTGTCAACGCAAGCCGCGCGCTGCCAAGCGCCTTACGTCGATCAACTCGTTGGCATGATAGGCCCGGCTGTCAATTAAAAGCCTCGCTTTTAATGCGACCTGTCCGAGAAGTTCTAAGAATTCTTCCAAATAAACAAGCTCTGCTGCCTCTCTGCTGGACCTCACCCCCACCTACAGCGGCACCCCAAGCGTTGCCATTCAGCGGCCGTTTTACGCCGTTGGATTACTACTTGGTCGCTGTGGTAGGCCCGTTAAGCCCTTTTCCATTCCTCAATCAGCAGGAAAAACCCCTTTCTCGGTCCTCGCTCCTTATTTGAGCAGGGCTGAGACAGCGCTTCTCTGGAAACCAAGCTCAATAGTTGTGCCCCGGCGGAAGAGACAGCGTTTTCTTCGTACAGCACCTTTGTGACCTGAGACTTTCATAATTTTGGACAAGAAGTTGTTGCCTGATTTCGCCGTCCAGGTTTCATTGAAAGTCCTCAGAGAGCAGAGATTCTGCAAGTCAGATTAGTCTTGTGACGCAGACTTGGAGGGCCGGAAACGAAGCTCTTCAAACAGGGTTCCTGAGAAGATGTTTACTTTATACGCCAGCTTTCTGGCAATTCAAAAAGCCAGCCATGTAGCGACAGTCCTTCGATCGTCTCGCAATCAATGGGCTTAACCTTCTATTCTCAAGGAATCGAACTCGAGAAGCAACTCATTCATGTTCAAAAACGATCCGGTACGAAGAGGCGAAGTCGCATATTTCTGCTCAACAACCGGCCATTTTCAGCTAAAACCTTCAACGGTCGTTCCATTGGCGCTGCGATTTCAGCTGAATGACCCCACTCCGCGGCACTCGTTCTTTCGTCCCTCAAACGATTTGACCTGCTGGTCAAGCCCCGAGTGTTTCATTCGAGTGGGTAACCGGGTTACCCAACCGCCGCTTTCCTGCGGCACACGCCTCCTCTTCCAGACGAACCCCAGCCAGGGTGACCACCCCCTCTTGTGGTTAACTGTGACCCGGCCGTTAACCCCGCCACCAGGAAGCAAAGCAGATTCGTCTGCTGCGACCTCACCTGGTACGTTCAACCCGCTTCGCTTAACCAAACCGCCCGCTCCCTAACCAACATCACGAGTAGTATACCTCCACAGCCGCAAACACCATCGCTGCGCTAAATGACGTTAGCAAGCCCGCCGGGCCCCCGGTCTTCCGCCGCCGGCCACGGCCAACCAACTGTAACCCGATTCGTTACTTCTAACCCGAGGACAAATTGACCCGCACCAAAGCCGTCGGTGACGTAAGCCCAAACCCCCGGGGGAATCCCTCTGGGCCCCACTCCCAAATTACTACCAAGGCCCCTGAGTCCCCGGTTCCTGCAAGCGCCGCCCCGAGTACGTACTCTGGGGCTGCGTCACAATATTCATGTAACCGGTGACTTCCACGACGCCCGGCACGTCTGGTCCGGGCACCCCTTTTCGAAATGTATGCACTCGGCTATCTATAAGGAGGTCAGTGCTGGCCCAAAGTCTGCAAGCCCGCTGCGACAGGTTGAGGAAAGACAGAAGATGGAATTTTGGTAGACAAGAATCCTTCAGTTCAGAGGAAGCACCTCAATGATGACCTGGCTCTCTTTGCGATTTTAAGCTAGGCGCCAACTCTCTATCTGTTTTGACAAACCTCTCTTCGGGGGTGTACTCATCATCTCTCAGCTTAGCTGCGTACCAGACTGTTCGCGCAAACCCCTTCGCGTACGGTTTGCTATAAGTCTTACAAAACACAGGGGGGATTGATCAGTAACCTTGGTAGGTTGTGCCAAGGTTATTGCATAGGTTGTCGCGTAACATAGGTAGTAACCTAGGTAACCTTGGACCTGGGTTGAGTGGCACTCTTAACCCGGGTAGGTTCTGCACAACCCATGCAGACCCGGGTAGCGAACAACTTCGACCTGGTTTGTTGATAACTCAAATGCGCAAAAGAAGAAATTTGAGACTTTGTGACGCTTTTTGGCCGTTAAGAAAGATGAGATTTTCCAAAAGGATGACACCATCTTGTAGCCAAGGACGTTCCAAAGCATGGTTAAGTCGCAAAAAAGTCGAAGTCGAAAAGGAAACGGAGGAAACGGATTGGGAAAGTGTGCACTTTGGTGCTTTTCAAAGGCGTTTCCGAGAGGTAAAAAGAGAGCGCAGCCATGGGCTCTCTGGTTCGAACCCACGTTCTAATGCATGTCTACCAGAACCAAGCGTCTTACCACTATGCTACCGCTCCTTTTGATCTGAAAACGTTCTTCAAAACAAAATCCATTAACGTTTGTATGCCCAGATTAAGAACAAACCACCCAGGTTGTGGCGTAACCTGGGCCCAAATTTTTTGTAACCTAGATGTGCCTAGGTTGTTAACGACCTAGGGACCTCGGTTACTCACAACGTGACACAAGTCAAATTATTGTACAGCAACCTAGGTGATACCGAGGTTGTCAACAACCTTGGTCCCGTAACCTAGGCATAACCTGGGTGCCTAGGTTACGGGACCTAGGTTACCGACCAATCCTCCCTGTGAAAGGCCCGGTCAGTTTGCTACGGCCCTGCGCATGCGTTTTACGCAATGAGCGCCTGATGACGTCAGCAGGTTTTATCCGGAACGGCCTGGCCAGGGACGCGCTTACCTCTGCTGTGTCCGGAGGAAAGGGTTTGAATGTGACGCCATCTTGGGCAGAGTATCACAATCTCGATCACACAAGAAGCTCGAAGCGCAAAGCTAGGAAATGAGTAACCTTTGAGCCCCGACTCGGAGGGCTTCGTATTTGACCGGAACTATCGAGTGCAGGATGTGCAGTACTAGAATGTGCGCGTCTTACCGGGCATCTCACTCGCAAGGCGAATCAAACGGGGGCGCAAGGTACCCTCCCCCCTGGAGCAAACTTCTGCATTATTCCCCACGATTCAATCATTTCAGTGCGTACAAGGCCGGGCCATAGAATCTTAGAGAAGTTACATACGGAATGGAGCCCAACACACGGGTAGAGTACTGCTGCTTGAGTACAGCACAGCTGGTATATAGCTATTTGCAAGTACTATTTTAACCCGTCATAGGTTCCTCAACTGCTGACATGACGCTTCGCTGCCCTGCAGTATTGTACGTTCAACGGTTTTGTAAGATCTGACCGCTCGGCTAGACTCCTGGTTTGAAAAAGTGCAGAACTTGGGCCGCCCGATCGATGTCCCAACGTAAGCCGGACAGTTTCCTTGACTATACCGTTTGAGGGCTAGTCAGGGTAGGGGGAACCTTCATATGACTACCAGTAGTAGGTTTTTGATCTTGTAATGAACCACCCTTGACGGATGGGGTTAAATTGCCGTATTCTTAATGAGTGGATAAACCTGACGGTTGAGTCTGGCGGCGGGGCAAAGGCCTTCTGAAAAGGGCGCGAACATGACTGAATCGGAACGACTTGAATGGTTGTGGGGCTGATCACATGCGCCGGAAGTAAGTCGGCCTAAGAGTCACAGTGCGCTGCGGGCGGGCGCGAGCAGCCGCATATGCGGGTGAGGTAGTCGTTCAGTGCGTCATGAAATGCACTGATAGGGAAACTTCTAAATGATGGCCGCTGGCTTGAGGATTCATCTCGGCTTCGACCGGTCGTAGCCGGTCCGCATATCCGCGGAAATTACCGATATGCCGATAGCAGCGGGATAGGGGCGTCGCAGTGCAAGGACCCCGCGCCCGTTCCCCGGCTGCTCTCCGGCGACCAGCCTCCCCCGGTTGCAGGTTTGCAGTCGCCCGAAGGCTGCTCGGCGGTCGATCCGGATTCGGAGAAACGGGACAACGGGACGGAGGCCTGCGGCGCGGCCAAGATACTAGCAAAGGAAGCCAGCGCGACGCGCGCTGTTCTGGGCGAATCCCTAGCTAGCGTATACCAGGACGGAAAACATATGATGTTATGAGCACGGCTGCTAGGCGCGCTCGCGCGGTGCGCGCGCCACACCTTCAGCTTTCGCAACGGGCACGGCTAACGCGGCCTTGCACGATGAAGTCGTCATCTGGCACTTCGGCATTAATTTGGTACCAAATATGGAGAAGAGAAAAAACATTCCACAATTAAAAGCAGATTCGATTTCGACCGCGTCTGCAAGGAGGCAATCCGCTTCTTGACTGAGGGGATATCGCCGGCGGGATACGGTGCCAGGGGTTCTCACTGAAAGCCCGTTAATATTGCGTAGCAATTGCGTCAGGCGAGTCTAGACCAAAAGCGCTTTTGGAAGAGAGTCAAGAAAGTCTGACGTAGCTCTGACGTGCCTCTGTTTCAATGATCCGCGTCATCATCACACGGTCTCGTCCTTCTTTAAGGCCTCCTGGTAAGTGCCAATGATATAAGGTACATATGTCGACGTTGTGACGCAATCACCTGGCCGGCTAGCATGAGAATCCCCGCTTTCTCGTATAACTACTGGGCTGGCGGCCGGTGATCACCAACGCGCGGCCGCAGGGTTCAGAATACAATTTAACAAGCCTTCGACAGCTCTACACCGTTGCACTTCAAAAATTCTCGAACATCAACGGTCCGAAGCAGTGTGTTGCTGCGTCGTCCTTCAGGACAGACTTAGATGCGCTTCATGATCAGCTTCGGAACATCCAAACATGTAGTATGACTGTTGCTGATTCTTAGGGTGTTCTCGAAGGGACCCGGATTGTATTCGTGAGTTTGGGTAAGGAGGAGAGACGTGTCTTGAAGGCGCTCAAATGGCAGAATGGGGTTCATGAGCATTCCGACGACAGTGATGTGATATCCACGTGCTATCGGCGTTCATATTCAAGTAACTGAATCCGTGCAATCTGATCCGGAATGTATCTATAGCATCGGCAACTCTCTATATATAGCTGACGTGTACAGCTTCTGGCAACGGGAATAATCCTCGAAGGAGGGGTGTAATTTTAGCGACCACGACGGGAAGGCCGAGCTTTTAGCGTCTAACTAAAGCCCCTATGCTTGCACCTGTGTTCAATACTGTTCCTTCAGTGGTTCTATACGAGACCCAATCTTGGGCTCCTGTTTCGAGAGCAGCCCTGCTTGGAGAGGGATCACTGGGTACTTTGACTTTGCTGGTGCCCTTAACGGTTTGCCCCAAGCTACCACTTGACAACTTAAGAATACGTTTGAAAAGTAAGACCTTGAGCAGAAAGGGTGGAAATTTGTCTGCATCTCCTTCTCCTGAACTTTCCTGGGAAAGGGGCTTTCGGTTGCAGGCTAATATATATCTAGCTAGAGAGTCGTTGTGAACCTATCAGGAGGCCTTGTCGAGGGAAAACTATGAGAAAGTCTGGATATCCCTCATTCTCATTGAAAAAGGGGGAAATGCCCAAAATACCCTGTGGGGAATCGGGCAATGAAAGCCTTTCCGGAGCAGAATCCGGGGTCTCTCCATCAAAAGAAACAGGAGCCCGTTTCAAAAAGGCAAATGAACCAAATGCCTTCGCAGTGCATGCGGCATCATCGTTGTGAGCAATAAACCAAACATCGGAACTCTACATTGAGAAGCAGATACCTCCGGTTATGAAGGAGCTGGCGTCGCTGACAACGAAGCCTTCAATGGTTTACTAATTCATAACCCTCTGCAAGTCACCGTTAGCTAGCGCTTGTTTGCCGTCAGACTGTTTCGGTATGTCATTAGGAAGCGCGGCGGGGTACGTCCCGGCCGCGAAACAGATCCATCACTGGTCTTGCACGATGTGGATGCATTCTTGAGAAGGATTGAATAAGGCATTATGCTTGTAACTTCTTGTCAGAATGTCGTTTTCATTAACCACTTTAGTCAATCTGGATCTACGTGTCTGCCAGGCATTTTCAGGCCCGCCGGCGCGTTTCAGAATCTGATCCAATCACATCCTTCGGTCGGCCGGGCTTTCAATCTCGCTCTCTGTTGAGGCAGTGCCTCAACTTCGATTACGCTAAACTAGTATGCAATCTCTTTCCTATCAAAACACGTTGTTGGAATCTTCTCTAGCTATTCTATTGGTCCTCACGGCAAGCCATCTCCGTCGTTCGCGCTCCGCACGATGTGGCCACTCCCCCTATTTACACACCATCTACTGTTTACCCCTTTTCGAGTCAAGTGCTAGCCACGCACACTGAGCGCGCTTGAACCGAGCGGAAGCCGTTTCTTAAACCGGGTCCTCTCTTTGACCTGAGGCACTAGCGCTGGTGCGGACGGAGGGCCTCTTGAGGGCGGCTGGCTCCTCGGGGGGGTTCACCGGGGCGGAAGTTTCGGCCGGGGGAACGTAAGCGGGGGCGGGTTGAGGGGCGTCTGACGGCCCGGCGGCGGTTTCCGGGTACAGAGCTCCAAACTGACCAGCGGCTGCAGAGAGAGATGGGTCAACGTTAGATGTGGAAATGATGACGTTGAACAGAGCTGAGCTTAGTACTGAGACGCAGAGGTTGTTCCCTTGATTTTCCGTACACTTGCCCCAATGAAATCAATCAATCTTAATGGGAGTTGGAGTCCCATTATCTTATCCAATCACGCTCTTCAAATGAGTGTTATCCATCTTCGTGATGTCTCAGAGTCGTCTGGTATCTTTCTTTTCCCGAAAATCACGCTTGAACCTCTTCTCGAGATTGTTGTGTTGGCTGTTTGCAAACCCCGCTTTTCTGAGCGGTTCCTTAATTCCGGCAAGCCCAACTTCCAGAAAGCTTCAACAGTCTCTTGCACGTAAAGTGGCGGCAGACGCCTTACGCACTTTCCTTGACGTCCGCGTCATTGCGCTGAACATGTGCGAGAAAATAGAGACCCCATATCCCACACATTCTCTGGCTTTATGCAAAGGGTTATTCAAGATACTAGATATGAGAGATGTTACGACTTATCCGGTCTGAATTAGCGCCCGAAACCAGCCCACCCACTCACTTTTCTTTCTCTGCATAACGACCCACGCGACCGCGGCCGCGATGAGCGCCACGCCGAAGAACCCGCCGACAACTCCGCCGACAATCGCGCCGACGTTCGTGGTGCTCTTGGAAGAAACCACCGCGGGGGGCGTAACCGGGGCGTTTGTAGGGGGGGATGTGGCGGGAGGAAGGGCCGGGGGAGGGATCCCCGGGCTCTCGGGAAGGACGACCTTCGCAGCCGCGACTTCGAACGCCTCGGCGCTGGTTGCGGCCTGGAAGTCGGCGAGGCTCCTGCGGGTTTGAAAAGGGTTTGGGGTTTAGAAGAGAGGATAGGCAATACGCGGAATGCAGAACTTGCGATCCAGGCGTTCCGGAGTCACGTGGACAGGGCATGAGCTTCGCGCAGGAAATGCTTTTGCCGTGGTTCCGTATTCCTTGTAATTGAGATTGTCTTCCGGATTACAATAATGGATTGTGGGTTGTCAGACATCGGATGTTTTGAACAATTGCATGGGGTACTTGTAATGAGAGAACCGGGGGTAGCTTCCCCGGTAGACCCTACGGTGCGGGGGACTTTGAAAATTGGAAATTTGGTGAGACAAGCTGAACGTAACGGAACAGACGATGCGACGAGGATGCGACTAGTTTCTGGCATGAACGGCGAAACTCAAAAAGAGGCGCACGCTCGCGCCTCTGATGACAGCTGAATCTGGAGGAAAGAGTGCTGTGTAGAGTGCTGCGAAAGGCAGCAAAGCAGCGGACGCAGTTTTCCACTAAAAAGCGCTTCTCTACACACCAAACATCAGACAGCGATAACGTCAAGCGAGAGGACGGCATGCATCTGACGTCAGGGCCAACTTCGGGTGAACATCTCCAGGTCTCGCACCCAAAGACTCGCTCGCAACCAGAATGACGAAACCTATCGCAAAGATGACGTCAGAACAGACACTTTCACGAAGAAGAGAGTCAGAGAGAAGCCCTCACAGCGTGCCGTTGGCGAGCGCCTGGATGTTGGTTTTGAACGTGGTTTGCGTAACCACGTCGATGGTGTAAAGCCGCTTCAGGAGCTCCGCGGAAGCCGTGGCGTTGCCCATCATCGACGCCACGTAGGACGGGTTAGCCACTAACTCCTGCAGTTTCGCGTTAACCACCGCGATCGCCTGAACGACCGCCGTGATCGCGTCGCTGGAAATGTTGTTCAGCCCCGCAACTTGGAGCAGGCTCGCCGTGTTGATCGTGTCGTTAATGACCTGGGTTAGGAAGCTAACGTCCTCTAACTGGAGGGCGGACCCGGTCGAAAGGAGCCGGCGGCTGCCACCTGTCGTCACGCTATTGGTCGACATGCACTTGCCGCTGATAATGGTGTTAATCAGGTCGGCGACCAGTCCCACCGGCCCGCCGATCAAACTTTCGCCCAGAACCCCAACGCTGGTGATCTTCCCGCCGGTCAGCAGAATGAGCGCCGCATACTGGTCCGCATTCGCGGCATCCCCGAGGATCGCTTGCGTGATCCCCGCCAGGGCGTCGTAGTTGCAGACGTCAGGCTGAGCTGGCAGCCCGAAGCAGCCGGAAAGAAGCGCCGCGGATTGCGTCAGCGTGACGAACTTGGTTTCCAACATCTTCTGCTTGATCGTAGTCAGGGGCGTCAGCGTCGAGCACTCCTGGGGGGAGGCGAGCGGGGTCGCGAGGCGGAGTCCGGTTCCGTTGTTGGTGCAGACCGCGGAGAACGCCGGAACCGGATCTTGCGGGAAGAGCAGGGAGTCGCCGGTGCGCGTGCACGGGCCGAAGCCGCCGCCGTCGGTCGTGCACGTGAGGTCGAGAGCCGTGCATTGCCCGGTGTGTGTCGGATCGAAGCAGATCTCGCAAGCAGTCAGGTAACCGCTGCCTGTGAAACGGAAAGAAAGGACGAACGGTCAGTTAAAGAATGGTGAAGTTTGTTGTGAGCTCGACATGGGAACAGCTCTGTTTTTGACGGCCGGGTCTTCGGTTGACTTTTGGATGGGTTCTAACTGATGTCGCACGCGGTCCGGTATTCGCCGCCTCTGAACGGGAAAGAAACGAAGTCTCAGGTTGAATGGTCAATCTGGACATGATGGATTCCGTCAATCGCTTGAGCTCCAAATCGAAACTAGGGACAGCTTCAATACAGCAAGTACCATCTGGTTGTGGACCTGTCCATTAAGATTTCGTACGCGGTCAAGTAGACGCTGCCTGAAACCTGGGGACAGTAGAGGATTTGTGAACGGCTTATTTGTTCACTATCGCGGTTCAGATACTTCATCTTGTTTGAAAGTCGTGTAATCCCGCTTGAAAGACTCTGGTCAGGGTACCTCTGATCTCGAACTGGTCCGAGGCGATCTCGCATGCGGTCAAGTACTTATTGGCTCGAACAGAACGACGGAGCGACTGTGATCCGATCGTCCATCCAGATCGAGTCGATGCATTGAAGTTTGTGTTCCTCGCTTCGAATTTGAGCTACAAACTCAATCAGATTCCTTCATTCCAAAATCAAATAATCTCATCCAGTTTCAGATGGTCGAAGCAGAACTTGCAAGTCATCGAATTCCGCTATCCCCCTGGAACAGCACAAGAGAATCTAATTCATTCAGTACCGCCAGTGATCGAGAAGAGGCCAGTCAAGTAAGGATTCGCTCACCAATTGCGATGATACCGAATATGCTGTAGTAGTCGTCGCGCTTGCCTCCCGGGCCTGGCGCAGGCGCGGGTGCGGGGCCACGTACCGGCGCGGGAGCGGGGGCCTGCGGGGGGGTCCCCGGCGGGGGGGGTGGGATATAAACGCCGCCGTTGCCGGTCTGCTCGGGGCAACCAAGAATGGTGCAACCGGGGTCGGGCTGCTGAGGAATCGAACCGCCCGGTGCGCCG